TTTATAGCTATTGGTATGATGTGGTATTTTTCCCATGTATAAATTCTTAACTACATTTTTAGATAAACATGTATATTATAGAAAAAAAGTCAACTGTACTTTCTAAATTACTAGTTTAAAGATTTTAAAAAAAACAGTTCTAGCAGATAATTAATTACTGATCAGAGCATTAAAATATGCCAAGAACCTATTCACTATTGCTCATACTTACATTCCAATGTCTCTACTTTTTACTATTCCAGTTGTTCATTTTCAGTGGTTTTGTTCTGACCTTATTTGCATAGAAGAGTAAGTTTGGCGTTTATATGTTTTATATGTCATGGTGGTATAGCAGAGAACCATCACAAATCTTTTAGGCAATTTTACTGAGATGGCAGTAACAAATAGTACAACACTGCCACCACCTGGATAACGAAAGTGACACAACCACATTGAGTGCTAAGCAGTCTTTTCTATTTTCCTTGTATTTTAAGCATAATAATTTTTGCATTTGATGTAACGTCTTATCTTGTCGAAACATCTTTAACAGAGTTTTCTGTTAAGTATTGTGACTGTATTTATAGGTGTATGGGTTAAGCGAATTTCTGCTTACAATATACTAGAATAGTCATTAAGTGAATGCCATTTTTTAAAAAATATATAATTGATACATTTTGAGGGCTGTACAGTTACCATTCACAGAATTGTGTGTTGAGTTTCGAAATCTTCCATTCAAGTGCTTTGCTGTAATTGGGGGTGAGGTAGGAGAGAGAAGGCTTGCAAAGTCAAATACCTTCTCTCTCCTAAATCAACTTAGTCATAAAAAGGACCCAAGTGTGGTTACAAGTGATGTTCATATGAAATGCTGATGCATTGGAAATGTATTTTTAAAGAGATATAAAATGTTACCGGACCAGTTAACAAGTAGGTCCACCGAACAAAGTGATGTGTTATAGATTGGTAAGATGGAAAATGAAGGCTACAGCATCAGTAATTGCAAAATCGTTGATCTCCAGTGTAAAAGTACTGGTGCAATAGAATAGTTTTTTAAAAAAAAGTAATCATTATATCTTCTATGAATATTGATTTTATTTGAGTAGTTTAGGTGAGAGGGGAATTTACACAAGTTCAATGCATGGCATTGCTATCCCTTCAGTGGTTTAATAGTAATATTCCTTGTATAATAATATCTGAGACGCTGTCCGGCGTGGAGGGCGCTATATGAATCCAAGTCGTTGTTGTTATTTAATATAGTGCCTTATCACATTGTTGAGACGTCTCAAATGAACGGATCATTCTCCCACAGTTCAATTTTTTTCTTATTCTGGTTTCAACACTTCTGGGTCAGGTGGAATATGCAAGGTTATCTTGCTACAAAAAATCACCTTACTGTAAGCTCAGAAGAGTGCATCCTATACCAAGTTGTTCAACATTTCAATTTACCAGAGCTGTTGTCTCTGTAGTTCTTAAATGAGACTGCTCATTGGTGCTGAATAATAGGCAGTTTCCGCTGTGGACTCATGCCCAGTAGAGGACTTGTGCTCAGAAAGGTATCACAGACTTTTAATGATTGGAATCACGTTAACTTTTAAAACTATTCACAATCACAACCTCCATTTCCAATATCGTTTAGTATTGGATTTGTGTAATCTGATTGTTTTACAAACATTCAAATACAGTACTTAACCATTGTGTTGTTGACCACTAATCTCTTAACAGCTGTATCCCGATCCCCTTTGGTTTACCTCCTTATGTTAATACCTTTTGCAGTATTTCTGGTTGATGAAAGGCATAAAAAATTCTATCAAATGTTTAGGCAATTTTAATTGTCTAGTTTCTTAAAGAATTTTGCTTTTTCCTATTTGCCTTCTAATTCCTTTTGTCTGCCTTCATGTCCATCTCAGTTCACTTTCAACGCCAAGATACTATATGGTTGTATACATATTTTTGTTTGTTTCAGTTACAATACAGTTACAATTTTTTTCCTGAAGCTTGCATCCTCTTGGTTTTTAATGGTTTGCAGAGGTTTTTCAGGCACGGAGTCATCTAATTTATAGTTATAAAATACTTTCACCAAAGTATATGTGGGAAGATGGATGCAAGGTTTGATTCGACTGAGTTGTGGCCAAGTTTTAATCTTTCTGTGTTAGATACTGGGCAAACAGATAATCTGGTCAGTGATGTGTTTTTACTTAAGTATGATCATTTTATATTGGGAGAGTAGAGGAGGCATTTTATTGTTGCAGTGGTTGGACATCACCACTGAATGAATACAATACATAATTTGCTTTTTACAACTGGATAAGGATTCTAAAAATGAGATGAGACTGAACAAATAGATGGGAAATTTTGAAATATCATCACTTGAAATAGAATGCTGCGCCCCAACATCCATGACAGTTAGTGGTGTATTTTTTTTAGAAATGTTTTAGTTCTATCATACTAATCACTTGAGGTAATAGGATTTTAACTTCCCGTGTTTGTCTTCCTTGCATTGTTTTACTTCTGTACTGCATGGCGTGTGTTGGTGTGCATGTATATATGCGTGTGTGTTTTGTTTTAAAAATAAACCATAAGCTTGAAGAGAATAACAAATGTCTGTAGTAAGTTTAAGTAAATAATTAATTCACTGTGTTTGGTGTTCATAAATGTTTTTCTCTTGTGGCTTTATTGTATCAGAAACATTGTTATTTACTGTAAAAACTGTTCCTGTAAAAAAATTCCTGTGGTACTTTTTGAAAAGAGAAAGGAGTTTCTCTTGGTTTCCTCGTGAATAATCCTCCATACAAATTGCGCTTTTCATGTCTTTTAGACATCACAAAGCACTTCAGACTATACTGTAAAGTGAATTGACTGTATATTTGTGGGTGAAACGTGGCAGCCAATTGTGCGCAGCAGTGTCCCACAAAGAGTTGTAGATTGAAGTGATCAATCCACTTATTATTGTTTTATTTCTTGAGGGATTATTATCAGGCGTGAGGAGTGAGGAATCTTGCCCAAGGTTTCGCTCTGCCGCGAATCGAACCCAGGTCTCTCGCTTGCTAGGCGAGTGCTCTAACCACTAGGTGTTTTTATTAAAATGCAATTGTTGTTATTATTTCTAAAGATAAGCTTTGTATTGTGTTTCGGGAAGTGTTGTGCTGAATGTGGAGGACCTCTGTGTTAGCTTAGTGAGCAGTTCTAGCATGTATGGTGAAGTAAGTCTCCACTGAGTGCTTTATACTTGTTGAGAGCCGGCTACACTAATTGTCCCAGAGTGATCATTTGGATTTATTTGTCAACAGCAATCTCATTACTCCTTTCTGCTGGCATAACACAAAATCATGGGACACTGCAGAAGTTTTTTTTAGGAAAAAGTGTAACCTATTTTAGATGTTGCTAATCTTGTATTTTGCTGAAGCACACATTCTGGCATATTATCAAGGGAAAAACTGTCCTACTACTTTGTGCAAACACTTCTAAAAAGGAAATGCGTAAAATGTTCATATTGTACTACAGGTAGTAGTTATTACCAAATGGTTTTATTGCTAGTTTGTTTACAGCTACTGAAACTTTGCCATATTTAAAAGTGTACAATGTGATGTAGAAGAAGCCTGTTTTTGAAATTATCAGCTGCACTTAACTTGATATGTAAACAACAGCATTTTCATGGAGTTAAATTATCAAATATATATTTAATGGTTCCATGTCTGGTTTTCAAATATCGGCTGCATGGGGTATTGAATTGTCTTTGAGAAAGTGCGCAATCTGTTCAATGAAAGTGATTCTGCAGAATCTATATTTTCTCCAGCTTTCCGTTGCTCTTGATTTTGAGGTCCTCTGAGCTACATTTTTTTTCACTTTGTATATACTTTTGTCAAAGCAGTTGAAGATGAAGTGCTGTAGCTTGTTAACCATACATCACAAAATCACAAGAGAGGTATGGATGAAGAAGACACTTTGACCCATTCAGTCCCATCCCACAGAACACAAACATTACCATCCTCCCACTACTCCATCAAGCTGCTTCCCAAATGAGACCAGCATCTGGCTTCTTCCAGTCTTTCAGAAAATCAGTATCACACACAATTTCTAGCAGTAATCTGTTAAATGGTTTGTGTACCAAGGCTACTATTGAAAATTAATGTCTCCCTTTACAGGAAGACATGACGCGTTGGTTTTATAATGCATTTGCCAATAACCACTGTAAGGCGATTAGTAAGAATTGTACAGTTTAGTTTGTGGCAACACACTGCTGGACTGCAGCAGATAGATCAACCCATGAAAATGAACCTGGCTCAGTACCTCAACTAGCTGTAAATAAATTATAGATGGGTTCATTAGAGAATGCAAATTATACATCAGGTCAAATCTAATTATTGACCAATGGAATAACAATTTAAAAAACATGGTCATTGCATTGGACCATGATTTTTACTTAATCTGTATCCTCCTCTTCCTCCCCATTCCCCCTTTCCCTATGGAAAAGGATCAGATCGGGTCTTTGTTACGAATTGCTCTATCTTGCTTGATTACAGAAATCCACTGTTTAAATCAAAATGTGGGGTTACTTGAATTAAGTGTTTGGAGGAAGCTTTGCATGACCATTGCCACATAGTTTGTTTTAAGCAGGAAATGTACTAACTGGCAAACAAACCGATGAATAAATCCATTAACTGTCATGAACCATAATAGGCAATGGGAACTGTGCAGTGTTTGCTTGTAACTATGCAGCAATTCCTTTGGCACAGTGCCAGGACTTTAGTGTGTGTAGGGCTGAGGTAACTCTAGCACTAGATGGGGCTATTGTGGGTCAATATGAATGATCTACAGTTGCTATGGACACTGAGTATTGAAAGATGATATGATACTGTATTAGCAAATACAAATATAGTTGGACTATAAATTTCAAGTTTGAAAAAGTTTGCATATTGTTATTTAATCTAATTCATTTTAATTAGAAATGTAACCAGTCTTGATGTTGTGCATGCATTCTGCTTTTGTTTTTTGAGCCGCATTTAAGATTTTGTTTTATCTTTTAGGCAGGAAATCCTCAAATGGAATGGATGGGGATACAGTGACTCCAAATTTACTTTCAATAAGAAGGGACAAGGTGAATTTACAGGCAAACGGTAAGGATTATCTTTTGTGCTTTGCGTTCCAGTATTACAAATTCTACTCTAAAAATTGAGAACACGTATGCAATTGTCTCAATGATGTGGCTTCAGAATAGATATTCATCTTAGCTCTAATAACTTTCCAACATTGTTTCTGTGTGTATACTCTTGTACAATATCCAGGCCTGCATACATATTCTATCAAGAATAATAACAGCAACCTTTTAAAAAAATAATATGCCAATTTATACACTGCAGTCCAAGATAATAATAATCCTTGCATTTGATTTAGTGCTATATCACGTCTTCGAGACGTCTCAAAGCACTTCATAGAATATTCTGTAAAGTGAATTGACTGTACGTTTTGTGGATAGCCCTACCTTATATACCACTGCTCTATTAGCTTGTATATCACAATCTACTATATTACCTTATGTATAATGTTGCTGTATTTGTTATATCACATTTTGTTACTGTTATCTTATATGCTAACTGCTGTCATACTACCTTATATTGTAGCTGTTGCCATATTTATCGTATGTAACATCTACTTAAATAGCAGCTTTCTGTCCTTTGATTTCTGGTTTACATTTAAAGTAAAATGCCAATTTAATGCTATATTTTCCAGAAAACAATGTTTAAAATGTAGTTTAACATTGTGGAATTTCACTTACTACAGTATAAAATGCAAGCCTTTGTTTGGGCTGGAAACATTTAGTTTAAAGCAATTGTTTTTTTCTACAGGAAATTTTCTGGTGTGTTTGACAGCTGTTTTGCTTGACATAGAACAGACACCAGGTTCTCTTCTGATGCCTTCAGAAGGTGACCTCAAGGCACTGATTTCTGCAGTGTTAACATGTAGTGAAAAAACTAAATGGAATAGTGATGACTGGAGCCTTTGAGCTGTAGCAATGCCTGGTGTGATGCTGTTTGGCTAGAGTCATAGTGATTGATTGCAATGTTTAGAACTGCTGTCCTGTAAAATATACACAAGAGAATAGTGTATTTTTTCTATGTAAACTTGAAACTTTGGATTGTTTTCTTAAAGCTAGAGTAAAATAATTGTTTCCTGTCACCTCGATCATAGGGAGTATGCATTGTGTTGCTTGTAACTGTAGGAGAGATCCCTGGCTGGATAAATTAATTCTATCAGTGATTACAGGGAGAAGGATAAATCTTAAAATAAGAAACTACATTGGGTTGTAAGTGATCCCTTCATACATCCCTATAAACTTGAGTTCTGGCAGAGACTAACATACACAATTATTTGCCAAATCATACATGGCCAGCTCTTGTATGTTCCAAGGGATTATTAAACTGTTCGCTATACAGTGTGAAGAAACAGCAATCCAATTATAACTTGCTCATTCAATTATCCAAGATTGTTGAAGCATTGGAAAGGAAACCTATTTTGATCAGTTAGTTCCTGCAATATATTGTATGCTTTGTATTCTAGCATATCGCTTTACAGTCTTTTTGGATAAATACCCTCTTCTCAGTTAGAGGGAGCTGCAACATCTATTTTCTTTCGGAGCCCCTTCAGTCGAAAAGCATACTTTATTTTTGATTCTAAGCAGGCTCTCTGTTATTGAGGCAGTACTTTAGAAGAGCTGTCTGATCTCTGTGTGGATGATTTCAAAAAGTAGATAATTCACCTTATAAATTTAGTTGTCTCATTGTTCTTTTTATATATTTTGTTCTCTATCCTTGCCCAATCTTGGCTGCCTAGTGTATTATTGTTATTATAGTGTATAATTGACTTGTGACAATTTACACCGTGCAGCACATGTACAAGATTTTATGCTACTTTAAGCTAAGGAGGCAGTAGGAGTTTATTCTTGTAGTTTACACGTTCTGACACCAAACAAGATTATAAAAAGTTATCTTGGGTCAGTCTAGGATATTGGTTACACGTGATATACTTTTAAATGCTGCTATTGCACATCTGTATAGCCTTATTATGACCAAATATTGATACTGCTTTTCGAAAGCAGCATTTAAAACACTATTATGTCATTTTTGATTAAGTGGCAGATCGTAAGGGATGGATTATTAATACACAGCATTTTTTGATGGGATCTAGGAACCTATATATGCATTTGTAACTTGTATTGATAGGAATATTTCAATTGATTTTCTGACAGTAAAATCATTTGCTGATGTATATTCTCCTGAATATTCTGCGATTCCAGTTATACCACCACTTTCATTCTAGTAAAGAAATTATATAAAAGGTTTGAAAAACAGTTAATTGTTCTCACCACTTTGTCCCATTTATCATGGTTATAGTGATTTATGAAGAAAATAAAACTTGATTCTTTTGGGATTTTATATATTGTAATATTTATATTCAAGGTGGCAGAAATATATCACCTGGAGCCATAGGTCTACGAGTTCTCCTCCCTCACCCTCTTAGACACATCAACCAGGTGCTCGCCCCTAACTTATCAGTAAAGTGTTTTGAAATATAATTAGAGTTTAGTTTAATTTGTTTAACTACACATATGAAGGACCCTTAATGTCCAATAAAAGGATCTTTTATTGGACAATTTATTAAACTTACCCAGAGGAAATGGGTACCCTTGGTAGTAAATGCTTCAGTGCTATATACATACTAAATGATTTGGGCATAAAGAAATGGCAGTATTTTTGAAAACTAGATTAATTTACATATATGGCAAGTGGTCTTCATTGGGGTGGTGTTTCGTTTAATGTATGTATGTGTGTGTGTTAATTTTTTATAATCTCTGCATTAGTGTTACTATGTGTATACAAGTTTCTAATAGTACAAGTTGATAATAATAATTGCATTTGATAAAGGGTCTTTCACATCGGGAGGGTATCTCAAAGCACTTCACAGCATTTATTGTAAAGTGTGGAGACTGTATTTTGTAGGCGGATGAGGTGCAGCAATGTCGCACAAACAGCCATGAAATGAATGTCCAATTTTATCTGATGGATTTTTGGTTAGGACACCAGGAGAATCTTCCTTAACTTTTTGAATAGTGCCGTGGAATCAATAATAATAATCCTTGCATTTGGTATAGCGCTTTTCACGTCGGGAGGACGTCCCAAAGCACTTCACAGAACACACTGTAAAGTGAATTGACTGTATATTTGTGGGCGAACGCGGCAGCCAATTGTGCACAGCAATGTCCCACAAACAGTCGTAGATTGATAATGACCAATTTATTATTGTTTATTATTGTTTTGTTTTTTGGAGGGATTATTATTAGGCTCTGTGTGGAGTAAGGAAACTTGCCCAAGGTTTCGCCCTCTGCCTGGAATTGAACTCAGGTCTCTCGCTTGCAAAGCGAGTGCTCTAACCACTGAGCTACAGGACTCCACAATAAGAATCCCTTCAGCAGGCAGATGGGAATCTCAATTTAATGTCTCATCCAAAGGATGGCACCTCTGATAATGCAATGCATCCAAAGTACTGCATTGGAGTGTCAGCTTAGACTATAATTATTATTATTATTATTATTATTATGCGAGTTCAAAGTCCTGATTTGGGGCTTGAACCCGCAGCCTTCTGAAATACCAAAATGGCAGTTTACTTACCAAACATTTTCACTTTAAAATGATTTGACTAAAATGCAAGCTTGCCATATATTCTGTTTATTTAATAGCACTAAAATTTGTATTGAGACTGATCAAAATAAAATTGAAACTGAGAAAGTTAGAATTTACAATCCTTCCATATTAATTTTCAAATGAACATCATAATTGGATTCAACTTTTTTTTAATAACTACTCCAAATTATAAAAGCATAAAAATGTTACAAATTTGCTAATAACTTGGCTTGATTTTTTTGCTTAGTTTTTTTCACGCGGAATCACCAAGAAACGCTGTCACAGTGACCATTATCTGTTCTCACAGCTGTTAAACCACATTTAGAACAATAGGTTCTATAGTTAAACAGAAGGATGTGAGTCGAAGTAATGAACTACAAAATGCAGCAGACAGCATTCAGGGGAATTGATGAGTGAAAGTTTTGTGTTCAGGTATCGACATAGTGGTATGATCCTGCCTGGTTTGAAGGAGTGGATGGAAAAATCCTTTGGAGCCAGCTTGGAGCACAGAACAACTCCAAGGGTAAGAAAATTATGCACAGCCATTCTGTAGTGGAATTTCTTTGTCACTGCTCTGCAGATTCTAAGCAACAGATTTCTCATGATTTATTGACCCCTGAAAAAGCAAAGGAAATGTCCAGTCACGGCTCCAGTTTTTTTTAAGAAAAAATCATGTGGCTCATTTTAACAGCTTCCCATTTATCACTTAGTCAAGTACTCTTCTAAAAATATTAAACATTTAACAAAACAGGGCATTTCTTATTGGCTTGTAAAAACATGACTTGTTGCAATGTTCCAATAAATACTTTTTTTTTAGAATGCCCAGAAACACATTCATTTAATAAAATGGGAATATCTCATTTATGCTCGGTAATTATTTTAAGCTTTGATGGGAAATGGTGACTTATTTATGTGCCAGCGAGCCAAACGCGTAATTCGTGGAAACTGGGTTTAATTAATAACTTTTTATGTCCTCTGTAGACGACGCCAAATGTAGATGATCTTCCATTACCTATTCTAAATGAAGAGTATCTCAAGGATCTTAAAGAAGTAGGTGTGCCCTTCTCGCATGATCCAGAGGACAGATTAATAAGAGCCCATGGTAAGACGGTTGACTTTTTTTAGGTGAGAAAATATTCAAATTGATTCTGTCTTCTAAACTGATGATTGATTTTTATTTTTTTCATAAAACGTAGGTCATTGCTTACATGAGATTTTTTCTCTACGTGAAGGGAAATTTGAACGTATTCCAGATGTAGTTGTCTGGCCAAGTAAGTACATTGCATGTGCAATTTTTGTGTGACTTATTTTCATTATTTTATTCAGTAAAACTAGTGGGGAAAAATGTAGTGAGAGAACATATCCAGAAAATACAGCTGTGCTTATCTATTGCATGAGGTCTGTCTAACTCTTTTCTGTGCTTTGTTGCTGAAAAATTAGTGTGCAATAATGTATTTTTTTCTATTTGTTCCTCTGCAAACAAAAATCAGCATTACGTGTCCTTTAGCTTCTCCTTATCCCTTCCTCTTCTGCTAAAGCAATGAAATGTGTTCTGAACATCAAAACCACAATTATTTTGGAACTATCAAGTTGCATGTCATATATGTTGCTTATGTATGTGTGTGTGTGTATATATATATATATATATATTTACCTCGTCCCCCCATCCCACCAAATATTTAGATGCTTTTCCACACAGAGAGTTCGCTCTGACTGTTTTTGCCTATCTGTGTTATCGACATTTGCCACTTAGGGGGAATAGGCAGACTTCCGAACTCTAATAGGGAGTAAATTTGGAAGAGAAGGAATGTGAAAATCAATGTTTTTTTATGGTTGACTATGTTCCAGACTGCCATTCCGATGTGTTGAAGATAGTTGAGCTGGCTACCAAGCACAATGTTTGCATCATTCCATTCGGTGGTAAGTATTTCCAACTTTGTTGCATCTTGGTTGGTGGTAAGCCAACAACGATTTTGAATACTTCTTTTAAATTGTGCTGTAGCTACATTTTAAAAATTGGGGAAAAATATATCCATGCGCAGTGTTCATTTGCTCTGTTGTCAGTATACTGCTTTGAAGAACAATTAGCTGCCACCTACTCTTAGAGAGGCAATTAATAACTGAATTTTCATAACATTGCACGTACTGAATAAGATTGTATGGGGTAAATTGTCTGTGGAATATGTACAATTTTATTGCTGCAGTACAGAAAAGAAATATGAAAACCTTTTTTACAATAGGTACCTATAAATATGACATTTATGTCAGCTTGTCCATGCATACTAACTTGCCTCACTGGTTTTATTTCATCAGACATCCGGTGATTAGGTATTATACCTGTTTAGAAAGTAGTATAGTGCATGACCTTGTGAATATTAATTTTACTTTATAAAAGTGAATTTGAAGAAGGATGCATTCATTTTATAGGAATAATCATCATTTCCCCTATACATTAAGAGATTATTTAGGTGAGTTGGGAAAGTTGCCTGGTTCGGATAGGTGTGTGTTGCGACACTCTTGTTAGTGATTAGCTTAATCAAACCCTTCATTGCTTTTCCCGATCTATATCCTTTTAGCTTGCAGTCGAGATGAAAACTTGGTTCTATTTTTCCATATGTATATGAGCAGAGCTTGTAGTGGTATTGTACTAATTATAATTGGAAGTAGTCTTAACCTTTAATGGACATTTTCTTTTGTCAATACTGTAGTATGTTTTAAACATCAAAAACAAAAGCACTGCTTTTTGTCCTATTTTAATATGCAGTATATCTACTATTTTGTGGCAAATCTGCCCATGCCCTCTTTTCCATTTTCAAATCTATTAATAGTTTCAACATCTTTCCAGTAATGCTTGCATTTTTTTTGGCTTAGCTTTCTATTTACAAAATGCCTTGCTCTAGTTCAGCACTGTAGTTTGGTTTAAAGGAAAATACAGAGTGAGTGCGGGTCAGGGGAAATGATAAATCAAATGGTACAGTTTTTTTAACTCATGAGCACCAAGGGTTTGATTTCAGCTTCAAAACTCAGGAAGCAAATGATGCCCCGCTGGCCCATAGGCTTTAGATCTCATGCAGTCCAGATAAATATGTATGCCATCCAAGCATATCTGTGCACTTTTTCAATTGATCCACATAATATTGAAATAGTGATCCAAGAAAATTATTTCATGGTGTGTATGATATTTTAATTGTAAAGCATAGTATTATCTGAGGCATTTTATGTTAATTTGTATCTAGATTATTTACATGGCTGGTGAAATCCCCGCACTTATATTTCGGAATTTGGCCAGCTTCCTGCATACTACAAAATGGCCGGTTTACTAGGCAGCCAGGACACTTCCTACAAACCGCACTCTATGCCTGGCATGATGTAACGTGACGTGATATGATGATCCAGAGCCATTTTGTGTTGCGTGGGGAGCTGGCTGGTTGTACATTCAAGCAAACCACAAAACAAGCAATGCAGCATTGTACGGGGAGTTTTATAATCTGTGGAACTCTCTCCCTTAATCCCCTCACCTTGCCCCTCTCTCCCCATTTTCACGTCACACTTGAAGACCTTCCTCTTCGATCGTGCCTAAGGACACCTTCTCCCTCCCCCTGGCTTGGCATCAGGCTCCACCACTTTTAAGCACTCTGAGACGCCGTTGGGCGTGAAGGGCGCTATATAAATGCAAGTTGTTGTTATAACAACAACCATGGCGCTTGGAGCTTGAGACTCCCAGCGCCTTGGGACATCCTCCCGACGTGAAAGGCGCTATACAAATGTAATTTTCTATTGTTTAATGGTGGTTCTACTGTAGAAATCCTGGCTTATGAAGAGATTTATAGACATGCCTACAGACTCTGGTCTAATGATAATATATGGGAGTCTTAGTTTTCTGTTATGCAACAGTTGGATTTAGAATTCTGAAAGTTCTCCCATTGCTCTGTCTAATTGCACACAAATATCTTCTCTGCTAAATGTTAATGCAATTAGTCCCAGATTTGGGGGAAATGCCCAAGTTGTGCATTGTAGTGTGCTGCCATCTGTTTGTTTTAATTAGGGTATCCTTTCAAACTTTGGTCGTCAATTCTGCCACCCACAGTAAAAGAACATTCCAGCAGTCTGTAAAATACTGCTGCCATGCAATAAGCAAAATCTTTGCATCTGTAGTCAAAGTGCGAATTAAGCGAACTTACTGTGATTGATGGAGCCTGCAGGGCAAAGTTTATGCAAGCTTGTGGAGAATTCTGACCTGGTGATCAAAAAGGTCTCTGTAGTTGCTATTTAAAAGAAAACGTTCCAGCAAGTTTATGTAAGCGCTATAAATATGGAAACCCTCAAACACAGGTTTTATTAAACAGCCAGAGAACGCCCCTGGATTTAATTTTCAGTGGTATCCATTTTCTTCCTGTTTATACGTTCCTGTGAATAAATCTTTGTGCTTTTTTATCCTTATGCCAGCTTGATTTGTAATAGACAAGAACTTACCAGTGGTTGGAATATTATTCAGAGTTGATAGCAATTGCAAGTCTCTTTCAGCAGGGAGGCAGAGTGCAGAGCTGCGCATGTGTTCATGTTCCATCAGTGTTGTGTTGACTAATAGTACGTCTCTACTAGAAGGACAGTATTCCCATGTCTTCTCTGAATAGAGCCTCAACATAATGCGTAACTCCATCCAGCAGTCTGGTAGGAAACTGAATTTGCTATGTAAAGTGATGGAAAGCAATGTGCCTGAAGCATTGATGATTATTGCATGCACCAGTTTGGGTGCAGATTATTTCAGGTTTAAATGGATCTCTTTGCATAAATTATTTTCAAGTAAGTACAGTGCGAACAGTTTGCAGTTTTAAACCTAATTCAGCTGGAACCTTTACCATAAAGCGCTTTCAATGTTTGCCCTTCCATTCTGAAAATGTAAATGCGAGTGGAAAAATTATTAATTTATATATTCTTTCTCTTGTCATTTTGTGTCTGAAAGTCACCTAAAAGAGCTTCTCTGGTAGCAATATTCTGTCAATGACTGACTCCAGTATTTTTGGGGGTTGGAAGATGCCAGTGATTTGTAAAATTCTATACTAATTGTGTCCAGTAGCAAACACCTTGCAGCCGTGAATTTGAAAAACACAGATATCTCCCATTAAGCAAGTAGAGCAAAAAATGGATGCTAATCATTGCTGTCTATGAACTTACTGGTGCCAACCAAGCAATTCTTTGCTTACTTTCCAACCCAAAATATTCAACCTTAATAAGTAAACTCGTATAGCGATGTTCTTCTTTAGATAATTGGAGTTAACAACAAAAAAACATTACTGATCTGTTGGGTATTTAATTAAAATTGAACTATCAATGCAAAAGATTTGGGGTTAACAGTTTCTATAAATGCCCTCAATGCTCTTACTAAATCATACAAGTTTTGAAGAATCATTTTGTTGCAATGAATAGAACTTTGTTTTATCTGTATTAGTGCACCTGTTAATATAGTTTAATTGGACTACATGTTTTTGAAGAAAAGACCAGTTAATGCTGCCCTTTAAAATCCAGTCCAGGAATCTATACTCATCTGGTTCTTGTGTCTCTGCTGGATACTGAAGTAACAAGTCTGCTTCCTGCAGGCAGTTTAGAATCTGTTGTTCATTAACTGTTAAAAGATTTTGGCTTGCATGCTTTGTTAATGCCTACAGTTTGCCAATTCAGTACTGGTCTGTATAGTTATGCAGCAGTAAGTTCTGTACCCATGAATCATATTAGAGTGGTTGAAGTCTGATTCACTGTTTGAAAAATCTTTGTTTTGGTTACTAGCGAGGCAGTTGTAAGGCTATTTCATCTTCATTTGTCTCCATGTCCCTCAGCTTATTTGATATACCTATCAGACTGGAACGCTTGCATCCTATTACAGATGGATTAGCTCAATCTGTGACGCCATTGGGTTGCACTGCTATGCTCCAATTCAGTCCTGCCGGTGATTGCTATCACTACTCCATTAGCCTTTATCTTTCAAACTTGTTCATATCTTTAGAAGGAACAAGTGGGTGGCTTAGTAATGGTTGGTAAAAGACCGACTCCCTCCTAATTAAACGTTTATAAGTTTGAGACTAAGGACTACATATTGTATATCACTTAAGGTGCTTACCACTTGTTTTGAGAGTCACTTTGGCTAGTTCTCAGCTAGGCTACGTTAAGTAATTCAGCATTGTAGGTGGCAAAACAGCTTTACCAACACAGATTAGCTAACAACTGGATAGTCATGGTGGGTCTGTACCCAATCTGAAGGAGAGAATGAGATGAGTTGAAGAAGTTAGGAGGATTTTTATATAGTCAATATTTATAGTTTTGATAATGGTGTTAAATTTTAGTTATGTTAAAGTTAAGTTACGTGTTGCATGAATATTTCCAGATCTTTATTACCTGCGCCTTCCTTCCTGACAGATTAACGACTTTGGCTTTGGAGGTGCTAGTTTTCCAGTGTGCTAAACCACCACAAAACATTTATAAGTGCACAATAGTCACTTTACTTTTTATGAATTTATATTTTTAGTTCAGCTTTCAGAGGTCTAAAAGAGTCAATTTTATTTTAAATATTTTTAAAAAATCTTCAAGGAATTCACAGACCGTATTTGCATACGTCACTGAGCATCTGTGTTGTGTAATATGCATTTTAATAAAGTGAGTAACATTGGTACTTCGTATACAGCAGAAGTTGCTACAGCTTGCAGTTCTGTCAACACTTTCCCAATATTTCACACGGTGTAGTCGGCAGTCCACGTCCTGCTGAGAACATCTGCACAGAGTTGCCTGGAGACCATCACTGTTAGATGTGTATGAAAGAAGGAAAGGCAGAACTACTATAAAATCAGTCAGTCATTTAATTTCCTTTATTTGCAGGAGGGACAAGTGTTTCCAATGCTCTGGAGTGTCCCGCAGATGAAAACCGAAGCATAATTTCTTTGGATACTTCACAGATGGTATGTAATAACGTTTGTAGGAAAAGACTCCTGGTGGCAATAAAAACTAAAAAAAAATAAACCTTTTTAAGTCTGACTGCAATTATGCTTATTTTAACCAAAGTATCTGCAAGGTTGTTCTTACCTGTGTGTACAGCTGTTCAGATCACAACTTAGTTACAATTTTTTACCTTATTCTGGTGTATTTCCAATGCTTTTAAAGCTATTTAATCTGTGATATACAGATTTGGAGTATAAGATTGGTTTTACACTCAGTGAAAAGTCCACCTTAAAAAAAACTAGGCATTTTGCCCAGTTGTTCATTTATCATCAGCATCTTTATTCATATTAAAATAAAGTGCTAATAAATGCTAACTTTAATATTTATCCACTTTTCCACCAAATCTATCTATGTATTGATCAGAAACAAGTATTTGGCATTCACTATCTGCAGGATGCATCTCATAAATCCATTAAACATTACATCTGAGGTAGTTTCAGTTAAGGAATTTGGATGGTCATGGTATGTAAACATGAGGTTTGTTGCTGGATTAAATTGACAGTCAAAACTAGAAATGCTGTTTTCTATCTTACTCAGCTTCCACTGAGTAAATTTGAGAAAGCAATGCACAGAAGCTGCTGTAAATGTAATATCCCTAGACAAATACTGAAAATTTAAATCACTTGCATCACTGCCTCATCTTTCATTTTCATTTCTTGCATTTAAGCCCTCTGACTGCAACTATCTAACCTACCTCTTGAGCTTGTGAGATTGCATAAACTTACATGTTCTATGAAAATATTGTTGTTAACAGTTGGATTAACTGACTGATGTGTTGTTGAATCTTAGGAAAAACTCTGATTCAATTTCAGTACACTGTTGGTGAATCCTGACGTTAGGCACAATATTGTTAATCATGTCATAAGAAACTCTGTTGAATCAGCGTGGACAAGAATGTTTAATTTGAAAAAAAATAGAATTGTGTAATCTGCTTCACCACCTGAGGTGGAAGAACCTTTTATTGACGAGATTGATGAGGGATCATAAAAAGGTTTATGGTAGTTGAGCAAAGCTTTTCTTAAATAATTGTCTTTCTGAAATGCTTAAACTGCTCTCAGAACTCAGCTATGTGAATGCTGTCACTTTTACATTCCAGCCCATAAATCTTTCTCGGAAAAAAATGAGGACACGGTTTGGTGAGCAGTTTCAAAAGTTAATTAAAGAACCCGAGATGCACTGCAGGGTCACGTGTACTCTAGCTGGTCTTAAATTATATATGAGAAACATTTTCACAGAATTTTTTTTTAAAAAATAAAAATCTAATTCTGCTCAGAAAAGGTATTTCTCTTTTGAATAGTAATTGAATATTTGGATATTTTTCAACTTTTATTGTTTTTTTGAAGTAAAATACACAAATATGTCATGAGTCCCTTCCAGTAATGTCTGTTGGTTTCTGACGCCATGTAGCTTGAAGTAGAATCGGAGAAATTAAGGAAGTCAGATTAATAGCAATCTTAGAACATACCCTCGTCTTGTAACGTTACATTTGATACCTAAAATCACGAGTTTAGCAGAATCCAGTGCCACCTTTCTGTTAAAGTGTAATTGAAACAAAATATTACAGGTGTAGATAAGGATGAGGTTAGGTGTGTAACGGTTCTGTCATGGGCAAAGGGCATACATGCATTTTAGATTATAATGACATCTATCATAGGTAAACAGATTGGCCTAATTTTTCTGCCAATTGGCAAGAATTAAGGCGAGACTAACCAGGACTAGGGGATCCTTTTCAGGTGGTTAAATAGTCAAGATTGTACACATGTGGAGTCCTGCAGCTCAGTGGTTAGAGCACTCGTCTTGTAAGCGAGACACCTGGGTTCAAATCCTGGGAGGGCAAAACCTTGGGCAAGTTTCCTTACTCCACACGCCTAATAATAATCCCTCCAAAAAACAATAATAAATTGGTCATTTTCAATCCACGACTGTTTGTGGGACACTGCTGTGCGCAATTGGCTGCCGCATTTCGCCCACAAATATACAGTCAATTCACTTTACAGTCTATTCTGTGAAGTGCTTTGCAAGGATTATTATTATGTTATTAAAGACAGGCTTGTTTCATCAAATTAACGAATCAATTGGCTAATTAATTTTTAAAATTCAGTTAATCTGTCATTCTGGTAGAATTGCACAGCTGAGCTTCCCCATGGGGAGTGAGAAAAATAAATCTGAGGGTTAGACAACCTCGACTTTGTTTCCACCTTGTATTGACTGATTAGAGAGCAGGATTGTCAGAGACCTTGGGACGGCTTGTATTCCACGTCTGATCCTGAGAATGGGCACAGTAATATGCAGGCAACATAAGCAAAGGAGGAAAGGAGAGTAAAATGACTTAGCTGAGAGGGCTTTTCTTTCACAACATTCAATTTCAATGTGTTGTGTTCAAAATGTACTAACTAATCAGTGACTTATAAACTTATATTAAATAATACAATTAAAGAATGGGAGAGAGATGTGTATGGCTTATTTTCCAACCTTGAATTCTCTGCATTGAATTGGTTGCATTCACTCAATTTTACAATATATCCTGTGAAGCACTTTGGGATGTCCTTACATGAAAGACGCAATAGCATAACCAAGGATTATTATCATTATTGTTATTACTGTTACTGTTAATTAACATAGAGATGTGTTCTTAATCTTTTCATAAAGGGAAGTATTTATTTAAATTTTTATTTAAAAAACAGAATCGAATATTATGGGTTGATGAAAAGAACTTGACGGCTCATGTGGAGGCAGGCATCACTGGACAAGATCTTGAAAGACAGGTAAGATCAAATGGTCTGGTGAGTGCTTGTCGACTTTATACACAATCAGATGATGCACAGGAGTCCATGGGTAACATGTTAAAGATATTGACATACTCTATCCCCCAATCCCTCCGCTTGCCCCCTCCCTCCCCACTTTCAAATCCCACCTAAAGACCTTCCTTTTTGATCATGCTTACGCTCACCTTTCCTCTCCCCCGGCTTAGGGTCAGACTCCATCACTGTTAAGTGCTCCGGGACGCTACCCGGCGTGCAGGTTGCTATATAAATGCAAGGGATATGTCAGGGTTTTGCTTGCTAGATGGCTCTGCATCAAGATACTACTTAAAGAGATTTTACTGTGGACAATTTACAGTTCTCTTCTGCAAAATCCGTTGCAATAAATTGAACTGTGTTTGCAAAGTATAATATTAAAACTAAATGTTAAGTGCTTCATCATTTGGAATTATAAGTTAGAAATATTTTGACACTTCCAATTGAAAGCAAGAATTATCATTTTTTATGCAAAACGTAATAGATCAGATCTTGTTAAAGGTAACATTTGTGTATATTTGGCTTAACTTTTTCAGACACAGCTGTTTTTGTATTTTGCCATTTGGTATTTTTGGTAATCCTAGTCAATAGTGATGTGCAGGATCCAAGAATCATAAATAACGGTTATTTGCAGACACCAATCTACCATAAAGCTGACAAAGTTAAGACTATATAGGCTTAGAAATAAATCCTATTTTTAACATAAATTTCAGGAAGTTTTATCCTGTGGATTAAACTTTTTAGTTCATTAAATGTGACTGGAAAATAACCAGTAGCTTGGAACTGTGAATTTTAATTACAGCAATCTTGGAATTTTTCCAACTGTTCTAGTGAGAACATTTAGCACCTTTTTTATAGTTCGTGTTCACATCTGTTACAAGAGTGAATGATTTTTTTCCAGAACAACATCTTCTTAAGAATTGGACGCTGATTTATATTAAATGTGTAGCCAAGAATAGTCTGAATATTTCTTCACTTATGAAACCATAATTATTCAGCGCTGGATCTGGACGACTTGGCTGCTTGTCCCCTGGTCCCTGTAACTAAAGCACCTCTCCCTGCTCTGGAGCGTCTATAATAGATGGGACTGTCTTGCCTCAAATACCACTTATTTCAGAAGTGAGTAATGGAGCTCGTATAATTATTTTTTTAAGCTCTGTAACTCCTAAGAACACTCAGAAGGGGCAAAACGATTGAAATTCACTATTCATATCCATAGGTGAAAAATACATTTCAATTCCCTACCACAGATTGCTGAAAATGGACCAAGTGCTCGGTTTGATTGGTGGAGATTTTCAATGGGAATGCCTTTTCATTTTATGTTAAACTGAGTCTGTGAGGCAATCGGTTCCATGATGTAATGGTAAATTGTGGTTGGAGCTGATTAGGACCTCGAATTCAATGACCAATTTCTGCTTGGGGGCATTTTAAGATGTGGCCTTGTGTTTAGAGGTAGCTTACTTGATGCAGAATATATTAAAATACTTTCTTAGTCCCATAAATATTAATTCCATTACTGCCTCAATTATGCCTGGTCAGCCATAAAATATTTGTTTCAAGTAGAAACACACAATTTTTACACAGAAATACACAATCGACTTGTGTCCTGATTTTCTGAATTAGTTGAGGAGTAGTAGCCTCAATTGAACATGCATTTCACTTAATATGGTTTCATCTGGAATTTGACAATAATTGAAATTGTTTGTGAAAATGAATGTTCTTTTTGTAGTGCTTATTCAATTTGTTTCCACTAAAGTTATGGTATATCTCTTAAGGGGATATTATTCAGATCTTGAGCTCTACTGAAACCACCAAGAAGTGGTTTTGGAATTGATTTGATGCAGTTTTGTGCACAGATTTCTCTAGTTCCAGATAAGAGTCATTTGGAGTGGGTTACATAACTTCTCACTTTGAATTGCTCTCTGTGACTCCAGTGGTACAAAGGGGCACAAGATTCAAATAACTGGAACTAATCATCCAAATTGCCTGTGCTATTTGTGCGGCCCTTGGCTGGTTCAGCAAAATGAAAGAAATTCTTAATTTGCTGAAGATGCGTCTCCCACCCCTAACGCTCTGAGGTACTGGTTATTTGCAATTCTAGCACAGGAGACGTGCTTTAAAGAACGTATTTCTAAATTGTGTTTTTTGTTATTCAAGCTTGGTGAACAGGGCTATTGTACAGGACATGAACCAGATTCCATGGAGTTCAGCAGCCTGGGAGGCTGGGTAGCTACCAGGGCATCGGGCATGAAAAAGAACATTTATGGTAACATTGAAGATCTGGTGAGTATTTAAAATACTGTAAACTGTATTGCAATGCTGAACTCAACATAATCCATACGTGCAGTTGAAGTTTTCAAGCACATTCCTCACATTCTACCATAGACGTAAGGTGGTCTGAACACGAATTTTAGTAGTTGTTTAAATGACGCTGTACTTTTGCAATATAAAAGCATTCTGAAAAGGGAAAAATAATGCAGAAAATATTTGAAAAATATTTAGTATTTTTATTAACTCCAATTTGAGTATGTAATTTGTCTACCTTAATGTTTTAATTAATAGATTGTGCATATAAAAATGGTTACACCAAGAGGCATAGTCGAGAAAAGCTGTCAAGGTCCACGAATGTCGACTGGTCCCGATATCTACCACTTCATTATGGGATCTGAAGGTGCAGTTTCTGTGCTATGCATTTTTTCAGTTCTGCAGTAATCTTAACAAAGAGAATCCTTAATGTGTAGTGAGCATATTTTTTCAATGATCATTTTGACTTCACAACTTATTTTCCTTGTTCTTCCATTATTTGTTTTTTTTAAAAAAAAGCTCTCCTCCACCGTATTTGGTTTCTTCCAATCTTTCTAAAAGCATTGTGTCTCTTTACCCTGCGTTTTTTTCCCAGCAAGATCTTAAGGTAACAAAGAACAATAATCATGGTATTCATACCACAATCTTAGTTGAATATATTGGTGTTTTCAGTGACTGCACCCTCTTTGAATGACAAGCTTATGGAAATCCATAATATTCCTGGGAAAATGTATGTCTTTAACTCAAAAAACTGTTACATTTTAATTCGGTTTCTAACACTATTTTCATAAGTTATGTTACCATTCATTTTTCTGTAAACAATCATTTGTCACATATGTAACCTCAACTTTATTATCAAACTTCATGCTGATTTCCTTTCATTAATGCAAGGCTCCATTTGAAAATAGTTGCACAGAAGAGTGCTGTTTGTGTGTCTTGTATAAACACTGATGTAGCACCACTACTTAAAATGACTTCCGCTCCTCAGCCTGTCTCTTTCAGTCCATTTGGCTGCATCTGTAAATACTTCCCACTGAATTTCGCTTTGTTCAGTAACTTAGCCTGCTTTTTGCCACTTCAGTTACACAAACTATATTTTATAGACTTTTCTTTAAAATGCCACAGTGTATACATTTGAAATGCTGTTCACAATGAATTTAGGGTGCTGGTTTAAGGTATATAATAATAATCCTTGTATATAATGTTTGATCATTATTTGTACAGTGGAGTCATGTAGCTAGTGGTTAGAGCACTCGCCTTGCAATGAGAGACCTGAGTTCGATTCCCAGGAGGGTGAAACTTGGGCAACTTTCCTTACTCCACACGCTTGATAATAATCCCTCAAGAAAAAAAATAGCAAAGTGAGGCACTTCAATCCACGACTGTTTGTGGGACACTGCTGTGAGCAGTTGGCTGCCGTGTTTCGCCCACAAATATACAATCAATTCACTTTACAGTATATTCTGTGAAGCGCTTTGAGAGGTCTAGAAGACATGAAAAGCGCTATATTAAATGCAAGGATTATTATTATATTTATTATTATTTGTTGTGTGATGCTTCATGTACTGTTAAGTTTAGGGCACTTTGCCGATGTGCTACTTCACACTGCTCAATCAGCAGTCCATGTAAAGTCTAATATAGTGAAAAGCAAAGAAGTTAAGTTCTGCAGCTCTATCTTAATGTCAGTGGCTGGGAAGTTGTTAAGGCAATACATTACTTGCTGGCCTTAAAGCTAACCAAGTACAGTCAAAGTGAAAGTTTGAAACTGCAAAGGGAACAAAGCTTTGAGTAATTTCCCTTCCCTTTTTGATTAATTTGTATATTGTTTTTTCAACATACTTTGCTGTATAGCTGACTTTCACAAGCACTCTTATCTACACTTTGTAAGACTAAGACATCAATAAATTGGACGCTTTTTTGTTGGCTTTGTTCAGTACTTTTCCCTGGAGTGTAAAACTACTTTCATATATCTCGGAAAGTTCCTCAATTGAAAACAAATCATCTTCCAAGCGTTCTGATCAAATGACTTTAAAATGCTTTACTCTAGTTTATATTCTAATTTCAGTGGCATATATTGAGTGAAATAAAATGCCTTCTGAGGCACACTTAAGTGTTGGGAAGATTTACTGAATTTATGTTGTGGCTGATAGTATTTTTATTGTTAGATTTTAAATGCCTGAATAACCTCTTTTGTATCTGACATGTGCGCATAATTCATACTGGTGGGAGTACAAGTGAATTTGTTGCCGTACATGAATGTGGGTGGTATTGTTACCCCCTGGTGACCATCTGTGCAGAAGTGGCACAAAATAGATTCAGCATCTGTCAAAGTAATTTGCTGAATTTTTCTGTTGTTGGTTGTGAAATAGAAATTCATGTAATCTTTTAAATTGCTTTCATAATCCTTCAGTAAACTTTTAAATACATTATTTGTGTTCAGTGGCATCGTGTAAGGAGTACAGTGAGACTATTAGCGCCTCGAGGAAAACGTCGACAGAGTAGCAGATTGGGCTGAGATGGCAAATGAAATTGAATGCAGGAAACTGTGAGCTTATACTTTGGCATTGTTCTGTGCTGCGAAGTTCTGACCCACAGGCAGCTCATTTTTAAATATTTGGACACACGTAAGCTGCACTTTCATTGTTAAATCCAAAGCCAGATTTTTCATGAAAACATTGTTATCGTATTTTGAAATGGGTTGTAAATTCAAAATGAATTCCATGATTCCAAATGTGTGCTTTGTAAATGTTTTTGTATATAGAGCTCAGGTTTGAGCTGGACTATTGAATTAGATCCTGTCCAAGATCCTGAATCCTCTTACAATCCCTCCACAGGCTCCAGCTTTTTTTGTATTTATCTGCCAACTCTGCTCAGGACAGAGTTGGCAGATAAATATATTCCCTCTGTTCTGGCTGCTTTCACTTCCATGCCCATTTTTGTCAATGACCTCTCTCTTGTATTTCAACTTCTGCTAAATCTCTTGACATTCATTCCCTGCTGTGTTTGCAATATAAATCTAACTGAAGATAAAATTATAGAAACAAGAAAGGAAACTCTTGAGTTCTCACTATTGGAGATTTATTTTAAAAACACAACAATATGAATTCACTTTTGTATGTTTATTTCTAGTTTTAAAACTTAAGTTTTGATTAAAGTGTGAACACTGGATGAGAAGAGTTAGAATTTAACAATGTAAAAACGCAGTGACTTAGTGCTGTCCCCAGACATTGGTTGTTGTTCTAAGTCATTTTGTGTGATTTGCTGTTGTTGATTTTGTGCATGTGCTGTACTGGCAGTGGAGAAAATATGCAAAATGAGGAGAATTGAGCTGTTAAGTTAGGCAAAATGCTCTGCATAAAAAATATGTAGTTTTACTTGTGAACACTCAAGGTCTGAGAAATCAGCTTTGTGATGGTATTGATGGTTTATTTATAAGCTTTGGATGATACATAATAAATTGAAGCCTTGTGAATAAATTTGGAATTTTGTGTCAAGTATCTTTTCAACCATACCGTATGTCCAGTTTTATGATGTGTGCAATTGCTAAGAAAGTTCTAGATGCAGCTTTGTATTAAAACAAAGTGCAAATTGTTTTATTGTGTAATTTCCAGCATCTTACAACAAGGTCTGTTGAGGATTCCAAATTTAGTCAATTAAAACTCTCTTTGATAGTCAGTTTGAAAGTGGAAGCTGTGTCTTTTACTCCTAATAGCCCAAGGAGCAACACCACAAAATGAGAATGGTGAGAAGTACTAGCATTTCTGCTACTGTTTATTTTCATAAGGGCAGTGGTCTGCTTTTGTTGGCACTTTCACCACAGAGGAATTGCACAAATAGCCATCAATCTATTGTGATGTCAGGGTGATTCTAAAGATTTGTTTTGACAATTAAAACAGATTCTTTCCAGAGGCTTGGAGGGAATTTTAGTTTGTTAGAAATTAAAGTCCTTTTCTTTTCCTGTGTAATTTTGACTGAGGCTGCACATTTTGGGGCTAAGGCCATTTAAAAATAAACTTCAGGTTAGAAAGTATATTGTTCCCATATTTTACATCTGGTACCCATATGCTCTGTGCTTGGCATGATCATTCCTTCAACAGGTAATTAGAACTCTAGGCCATAGGCTTTTAGGGAAGTCTGACTTTTCATGCTGGTTTGTTACTTCTGTGCAATTTCCACTGCAGATAAAATCACTCACAACCTTTATTTGGCTTTGCTGAGGATGCGTTTCAATTAATTGAAATTGCTGTATTTTCTAAGTTGTAGATTGTCATTCGTTTGCTTCAACATGTTAAAACTGAATAAGTTTTAATACCGTTTTGTCTTACATCTTTGAAAAACTAATCTATAATAATAATAGTAATCCTTGCATTTGACATAGCGCTTTTCACATCTTCTCGGCGTCTCAAAGCGCTTCACAGAATAGACTAAAGTGGGCAAAACACGGCATATTTGTGGGCAAAACACGGCAGCCAATTGTGCATAACAGTGTCCCACAAACAGTCGTGGATTGAAAATGACCAATTTATTATTGTTTTGGAGGGATTATTATCTACATAGATTGTATGATTTCCATTTGCTACAAACTATCAAATGGTTATATATAAGCAAGAGGAGGAAAACAAATTGAAAAGGCTGGCTCATATATGGGAGCTTAAAAACGCTTGTGGATCAGATGGGTCCACTTGATCCAAATTAGGGGAATTATTAAAGTTAGCTTAAGTTAACTTATATATTCTAATTTGTGACTTATTTATGTGCTAAAAAGTTTGAATATAGGAAGGCATATTATATACTAGTTTCACAGGAATAGAGGTTAATGTCTGATATAAAAACATTACATAGCAACCCAATGTATAATTGTGTTTAGTATTTATTAAGTCTTGGATTTATCTGACTACCGTTCAATAGAAAAATCTTTTTTTTGTTACTGTGTGCTGCCAACTCTCCTGTTAAGCAAGTGAGAAGTGGGGGATCGAATGATCCTGGGAAATGTTAAAGATTGTTGAGCTATGAATACTTGAAAGGTCTATGCTCCTTAGCTTTGGCCCTTTTCAGGACATTTACTAATTGATGACGAGATAGCAACCTTCCCCACATTCTCTCAGAGTCTCGAGGGGAATCGCTGAAGTTGAGGGAGTTCCAGGTTCCTCTCCCTGCCTACAAAATGACATCCAAGATTTTGGTCTTAAACTCAATTGAATTCAAAATCGCCTTAATAAAAAAATACATTTTTCAAGGGGAAGCAATCTACCTTGTAAACGTATACATTCCAATTGAGTGGGAAAGTGAGATCCTTGCTGCCTTGGATTCGAGACACCTCTCCAGGGGAGTTCAAAAGCTATATAGTATTTGGATACCTTTCTGGTCATATTAATGTTACATTTAAATTCCTTTGAGTAAAAAGGTAGTCCAAAGCTAAATGCAGGCAAATCATGTAAGAAGACACCTCCAGAAGTCGTCATTTTTTACAAACTCAAGTTGGGGTAAAACTTTGTGTCTAAATATTTAAAATATGTAAAAATATAAAAATTGTCCTACTAGCCAACCGTATCTCCATGTGGTACAAATGTGGCTGTCCTGGTCAAGGTCCAAATGGAACCCTGAAATCTGTTTAGGGGCAACATTTTCTGATAGCTGGCCTGATCACATATAGGTTGGGAGGTTTGGTCTATATGTGGTCCACAGATGTTTCAGATGTACATAGACGAGTCCAACCATAAACCCTTCATTCTGTGGATGACAAAAGCTGGTAGATATTTTCTTTTGATTTACATGATGAAATATTAGAGTAACATTTCCTGAGGTATTCCATGTTCATGAAAACTTGCTAAACTGTTGGTGAGGTGAGTGGTAAAGCTACTTTACTGTTTTGACATTATTGTAAAGTGGGATGGAAAGCTTGAGGCTCTGGGTGCATTTCTTTTTAAAGTTATGGGCTTTTGCCAGGTCCTCAATTCTTGGAAATATCACTGTTGAATGTGTTTCCTTTCTACACCTTAATGTGTGTATTCTTTATAGTCTTGGTACTTATTAACTGAGTAACGTGGAGGTATTCAGCAACATGTGTTAAACTTCAACAAATGTGCTGTCACCTTCCTTCTCAACCTCATTTTCAAAACTTGGCTTGACAACACAGATGTGTGTTAAAGTTTTTGAAACTTTTGCTAGTCTCGTGGGAAGTTTAAATAATAAAAATCTTGCATTGACTTCCTATACAGCCCTTAAAAAAAAGTTTCTAGTCTTTACAGTGGGAGATGAATTTGCTGAAGAATTACAACTGTTTTTCATTTTAGCTAACTAACAAGAATTTGTTATTCTAGAATGGTCTTATTGTGCCCACTGGAGGGCAGTACTAAATACTTGATCTGGAGTTCTCAGTAGTTTCTTTCAGGTGTAGAAAACGTAGACGAAGACACGTACACTTTTAAAGTACTTTTCTTCAGAATTGATCATTACAATTTAAGTGGTCAAATATTAGCTGTGTTTTGAATTAAATTATCAATACTGTGGTATTCTTGATATTCAGCGCGTTGGGAAGTCCTCCCCTCATGAAAGATGTCATATAAATTTGATGCTCTATGTAGAGATTTGGGCAGTAACATTTCCATATAAAAGTAATAAATAATAGGAAGTGAAGTCATACTCAGTGTAAATACAAGCAGGGGATTGTTATTTTTAGTTTGAATTTGATTTAAGTCTTTAAAGTATACTGAGGACAACATAATTAAATGGCTTCTTTAGTTTCCCCTTTCCCACATTTTAAATTGCACCATGTGAAATATAAATATTAACTATAAGGTTGGTGTAAGTATATCCTTGGATTATTATAGTATCTACGATTTAAGAATTGTTGACATAATGCAACCCTAACATTGCTGGCTTCTGATTTTGAAACAGTTTTTCATAGAATAATCATTTGGGAAAGGATCAGATTACAGCCCAATAGTTATGTGAACTGTAGCTGCATTGACATTGAAATAGTATAAGTCGGCAACTTGCTAATGTTTTAGATCACGTTAACTTCACACTCAGACGTCATATGTTTGGTCTGCTGTCTAGTCTCTGGCATTTTCCAGGCCAGTTGCTGCTTAATACCATGAAAGATTACAAATTAATCATTTCATAAGAAAAAGAACAAAAGGGAAAGAAGTGGTTGCCTGACATATTCCAAAAGTGACGCACTTTGCAAGAGCCCATGGGCTTTCTTTAATGTTGCTAGATTTTGTGTTTTGTCTCCAGAGATATTGCAGTTCAGTATTGTGTCTTTGATTGAATTCCTTGGATTAATTGGGTGCTATTCCCTGGCACTATTCTCACACATGCTCACTGTGACCACATGACCACTTTGGGCTATGAACATCATTGTGTTGGTTCTGCTTTAAAGCGATTCAACTTAATTTTAAAGCGAATTAAAAATGATTGCTGATCAATAGGAAGCAAACTTAATAGATCAAATATTTAGTAATCTAGAGAATCAACAACAAAAACTAGAATTTATACAGTGCCTTTCTCATCGGAAGGACATCTCACAATGTTTCACACAGCTAACTGGGAGCCTGAATCAGGAATGGGGTGACTGTGGTCGAAAGTGCAGTCAACAAGATGGGTCATAAGATGGGCTTCGAAGGAAGGGGACTAGGTGGAGTGAGGGCAGAATAAAGTACAGTCATTAGAATGACCGTGTTTTTAGTAAACTCTTCATAACCTTGTTTAATGTAGAACTTGGACCTGAATAGATCTTAAAGTAACTCTGCATGTAGTTTAGAGTTGATTTTTATAATGTTTTTCTGAACTGACTATGTTAGTGCATACTGCAATAATGATTTTAACTGCTCAAAACTTTGCAAGTTCCTTAATAATATTTTTTTTCAATTAAGGAACCCTAGGTGTAATTACAGAAGTCACGATAAAGATCAGAACATTGCCCGAATATCAGAAATATGGTTCTGTGGTTTTTCCAGATTTTGAACAGGGGGTGGCCTGTTTACGGGAAGTAGCACGACAGGTATTTGTAAACTTGTTATTCTTAAGTAAAATACAACATTCATTTGTTCCTACTTCTGTTTTCTGCCATTCTATATTTCTATATAACCTTTGACATTGTGGGCCATATCTTTGCAAAAAGCCTTTTATTTGGCCTCTTATCAAACTCTTATGAAAGTCCATGTGCATCACATCCATTGTGTTACCTTCTTTAGCTACAATACGGTGTCTACATTTTATCACCACAGTAAATCCTGTGAAGTTCTTTGAGATGTCCTCCTGACGTGAAAGGTGTTATATCAAATTAAGGATGATTATATTATTTATCAATATGTTTAGTAATTTCCTCAAAATATTTAAAGATTGGTCAAGCAAGATCATTCCTTTATAAATCCATGTTGTTAGCTGTTCCTCTCTCTCCTCACCACCCCATCCAGTAGAACATAAATCTTTATGTATATAAAATAATTGGATTCATCCTTTTACACATAGATTTCTCTGCATCCTGACTTATCTATTTTGGAATATTGCCTTTTTAGCGATCATAACCTCCAGCAAAAGATTAAGGGACCATAATCCTCTTCTTATTGATCTGTTGTATAATGTGTTCTGCAGTTAAAAGTGATTTGTAAACCTTATGCCAGCCTTGTGTGGTTTCAAACATTCCTCTTAAGGTATTATCTTTTAAACCCCCTTTTGTGTGTAATATACTGAGTAATGAGAATGTTGAACATATTATCTGAATAAAATTAAGATTTGACTTGCAATTCTGTTTTTTATTCATAGATATTACATTTATATTTCAGCAAATTATAGTATAGATTAGTGAATCTACGAAGAATATATTGCAAAAAATTGCTTTCATTTAGAATAGGAGGAATTATTTGGTTGAAGCGTGTGCTTGGCAATAATCAAATAAAATACTGTTACCTTAAAAATGATAGTTTTTCATTTTCAGTTGCTTGTTTATTTGCATTCTCTCTATGAAATTAATGTTATCCATTTCCTCCTTATAGAGATGCGCTCCAGCATCAATTCGATTGATGGACAATACCCAGTTCCAGTTTGGTAAGCAAATATTTAGTTTGGAAGATTCACTAGTTAATATAATGCATATATATGAACAGAATTCAATAAATGTTTACTTCTGTACAGCATGAATTGGCATTGATATAGCACCAAACAAAGGCCGCAAGCTAATGACAAACTGGCATAGATAACAATCAAAATAGACCATTATCAGGGTCTTTATTTGTTTCCCTTTTTTATTGCAGCTATGAGGTAAAATTAGGACGACTATCCAGTTAATTGCATCAGAAGGTAAAGGAATACATATCTCTTCAGAGATCCTGCTAGGGTGTTTTAAATAACTTTTATTTTCTAGTCTACGGGCTTCAGTCTCTATCCCCAAATGTGAGACCAACCTAAAATGTTCAGCAAATAACTTAGCAAGTGGCCAAATATGTTGCACTAAACCAGTCTTGAGGGTTATCTTTGTACTATCATAATCTTTGAGGTAGCATTTGTGATAATTATATTCCATGTCATGCTTGTGATAATACAAAGCTGCTGAGAGCAATCCACACCATCCAGCTGATATGAAAATTAAGATCAGATTATTTGAATCCCATTTGGAGTTTGTGTTAGATCTTTCATGCTGGTTTACTCTTTGGAACTATTAAAGCTGGAAAAGAAATCAATAAAACAGTGTGCAGTCTGAGAAGAAGAAAGAGATTGATATTTGTGCAACCTCACACACAAGGAAGGGATGAAAAATGGTTTTCCAGAAATGTGCTGCTGTATTGTGCCTTACCCCATGGCATTTGCAACAGGACACTCAGCAATCACTTGTAATACCAAATGCCCTTTAAATTGCCAGGTTGAGTCCTCAGGATGAAAGAGAACCTGGAGGATTTCAAGGGATACCAAAAAAGGTTATGTCCATAATGAACTTATTAACTCAGCATGCCCTCGCACTGCAGGATTAATTTTCATGTGCAGTATAGGATTTTTAATTTCCCCTTTATAGAAATGTTATTAGCAGCAAAGTGTGTGGTTATTCCATTTCTCCCTATCAAGCCGTTCCTGTTAAATCAATTTGTCAGCCTAGCTCAGTTGGTAGCACTCTTGCCTTTGGGCTAGATGGTTGTGTGTTCAAGCCCATGTTGGGATTTGGAACCCATGTACATAATGCTGACACTCCAATACAGTGCTGGAGATGTGTTGCATTGTACAAGGTGCCATCCTTCGGATGATATGTTAAACTGAGGTCCTGTCTGACTGAGCAGGTGGACCTTAAAAATCCCATGGCACTATTCAAAAACAGAAGGAGGTTTTTCCTGGTATCCTGGTTGACATACCTCCAAATAAAATTGTAGTTCACAATGGCTGTTTGTGGGACATGGTTGTACTATTCGCCCACAAAATACACACAGTCACATACTTTGCAGTATATCCTTGGAGCTGTCTCAATGACCTGATAAGCTATAAAAGCTAGTGTAAAGCCAATCCTGCCCCGCCAAGGCGAACCTGATCCAGATGAGTATTTAACTTATATGGAACAATGACAAATTAAATGTGATGAAGGTTAACGTATTTTTTAAGCACGTTTTGTTTTCTCTCTAAGAGCTGAGGGAAGTTTTATGAACCGAAATATTAGTCGTTCTGGACTTTCATTCTATTGAATTAGATGAATCCAAAAATTATATTTTGTCTTAGTAGCATTTGAATTGGTTGATTATTAAAGAAAATAAAGCTTCATAGTTATATGAATGAATCACATCAGTGCAGCTCTGTAAAACTAAAGTAATGTGCATCAAATGCAAATGACCATGAAAATTAGATGCAATAACCTGATTTACTGCTGTCTGTATATTCTGACAATGATAGAAAGTGCTTCTCGTAGAGGTACCTTCAGCCAATTGCATTTATCCTTATTTTAAAAATCCTAATTATACAGTACCGTAACTTCAGTTTCTGGACTGGACAATAAATACTACTTGATAATGACCATTATATTGCTTGAAGAGAATGGCTGGTGCAGAATATTATTCTGGAATTTGTATAAAATTAAAAGTTAATGAGGTAGATTTGGGATATCTTTAGTTATCGTGTGTCGTGAATAACAAGTCGTTTTAATGAGGTACTGGTTAGTGGAAGGTGGAATGCAATGGAGCCAGTTGATAAAACCAGCCTCAGAATATACATCGTTCTTCAGACACTTCATTACCCAGAGTAGTTTTCAAGATTTCTTTTTACATTGTTTGCACGTCTTGGAGCTGAACAAAAGAACTGAATTGTCTGGAGGGTTCACACCAACAATTAAGAAGCGAGGAAAATCATAGCTCATCTTCTAATAGTTCATTGTATTTGACGTTACTTTCACTAATTATGTTGCTCTTGCCCGTTTGTATCTCTAGTACAGCACTCTGCAATCCAAAATGTTGTAGATCACAGAATCCAGTGTAAAAAAAAGTGACAAATTAATTAATGCAAAGCCTTTTGATTCCTACTTGGGTCCCAGTGGTGTAACAACTGTACATAAATAGAAATGGAAAATGTAAGTGCACTCTGTCTTCACAATAGTAAAATTGCACACATGATCTTCAATTGTTTATATTATTACAAGTAATGGATGAGATAATACAATTTTAAGCACAGTTTGTTCTAAAACGCAATACAAATTGCAAGTTTGCCTACGCTTTATATTATGTTTTTGTCTATCAATATATGAATATCAGAATCTGCAAGTTGCTCACCCAGGGTTTCAATATTTGGGTGAATTTATTAAACTTTTCCCCAGAGATGATTGATGTTGTATTGATGTAATTAATTTTAATGTAGCCTCCTGCTGATCACAGCATTGGATATGGATTTAATCAGATTGTTTGGATCTCTATTCTTGTAGAAGAATGCTGACAATATTATCACAAAACTAACAGATATAGCCTTTCATGCTGCCACTTTATTGATGTAAATTCTTACCAAATATCTGGTATAAACAGGGGCTCAGACATTGAACTTCACTGGAGCTCAGCTCCTGATATCACCTGTATAAGGTGGTGTCAGAAATTAGGCGATTTGCACCAAATAGTAAACTATTCTGTCTGGCAAATCATTTAGTCATTTAGCTTGAATTATCATTGAAAATTGGCAAATACACTTGTGATGGGATTTCTAAAGAAGACTTTTTAAAATACATTTTTCAAAATGTTTTCATTAGGCCATGCGCTCAAACCACAAGTGGCCTCCATTTTCACTTCTTTTTTGGATGGACTGAAGAAATTCTACATTACCAAGGTGTGTTCATCATTGTTGTGTAGCCAGTGCTCCAAATGTTGTTAGATAATTCTGTTAGATAATGCTGATCACCTGAATTATGCACATTACAATTTCAGCATCAATGCTGTTATATTTAGTATATCAGCTACCCTATGATGTGAGAATTTCTTATGGAATTTCTTAATAAGGAAATCGAAAGTCTGATATTCGATACCCAACTCGCACAAATTCAACTGTGACATAATTCACCTTTGAAGCAGAGTTCTCAAGTGACATGCCTCTGCTTACTGGAAGAAGTCTTAATTAAAATTTTGCAGTAGTATTTTTGATATCAGATTAGAATATTGCATGCATATTATTACATTGTAACTATGTTCTTTTCCAATTTAATATGATATTTATAATACTTTGAAGATTAAGCACCCAAATCTACAGTTATGTTGGAAATTTTTACTAAACTGACTCGCTTTTGAAAAACTATCTGTCTTGAATGCATTTCTTTCACATAATGTTTAGCAGAAGTTGACAGTGCACCAAATAAGTTAATATTTAGCTCACAAGTGTCCATGTATGCCTTTTATTTTTAATGATTTTTTTCAACTTTTTCAAGAAGTGCTGTAATTTATTGAGACCTGCTTTACATAATCCATAACTGCAGCACTCATCATCAAAGTGAGTGGATGAAATGTTTGCACGTGCATAATTTAACTTGTTTGATCACCGCAAGCTATAAATACACTTCAACCTATGTTTTAGCAGTTCTGTAAGAAGAAATGCATGTTAACAATGTGATGTCTTAAAAGGACAGGATTGTTCAATGTCTCTTCATTGCAATTGTTTTATTTCCAAGATTAGTGTACTGGTATATTATCACACAAAGTAAACTAACGCTTTCAATTTCCACCTAACATCTTCATGTGACTTTTTGTATATTTTAATTTTACAGTTCAAGGGGTTCGATCCCAATGTGTTGTGTGTGGCCACACTACTTTTTGAGGGTAGTAGGGAGAAGGTTCTTCAACAGGAAAAGCATGTCTATGATATTGCTGCTAAATTTGGGTAAGAATTACTAAGGTATCGTAAACCTACCCCAAATGGTGATTTTTTCCCTACTTCTTCCACGGTGGTTTGCTTAGTCCTCAGAATTTACAATGCCTTTCCAGATCAGAGCTAGCAAGACATGACCATAGTTCTGTAATCAATAATCTCTTCTCAACAATAATTTGTTTGAAACCAATCTATGTTTTTAAAAATTAAAGAATAAATTAGAAGCTCAAATCAGTCCCTTGAGGCATTTGGAACATTTGGAATGATTGTCTTTTTCCAGCCGTCTTGCTTCTGCATCATTTAATTCTTATACTGCTATGATCAAAATTGCTGTCCAATCTGGCCTTTACTGTTTGGAGATGAGCAACCGAGAGTATAAAGGCTATCTTCTGTAAAAGAGGTAGGAAGTTCATAAGTGGATGTAAGCGGATGCAAGATTATGCAGTGATGTGCTTTAATGTGCTATCGTTTCTAAGGAACGTTTTTTAAGCAAAATTAACTGTAAAACCTATCTTATAGCACATGATTTGGAGATCCAGTCTAGATTTTGTGTGTGAAAAGCGGTGTAAAATTTGCTATTTATTGACTATAGGCTTGTTTTAGAGATTAATAAAATAATTTAAAAACGACTAAAATTGTATCACTTATTCAAGTGTTACAAACTATGGCTCATTTCAGGATTAAATTGAGTGAAGGCATGCTGTCTTGCACAAAAAATCTAAAAATAAAATCTGTAAAATATGGTGGTCTGTCAGTCATACATTAATAATAAGTTACCTGCACTTGAAAATAAAAAAATTGGCTCCGATAGAAGTAATGAAGCATTGTTTTCTTATCATGAGTGTTAATCTTTGAAAGAACCTGAAAGCCATTAGAAAAGGATTGAATAAAGAAGGGTATTTAACTTTAAAGAAACACTTTTACCTGGTTTCATTATGAGGCATATTGGCTTATTTTGAAGTCAGTTTTAATCATAATAATTCTAATACACCACCACTCTTGAATCCAACACCCAGCTCAGGTGCAAACCCTTGACTGTCCAGCGCCTTGGACATGAAATCTGCTGTATAAATGCAGCTGGTGGTGGTGGTTGTTGATGGTGATGTTATTTATTAAGCTCTGGGAACCTTCTGAGTGGGGACAATGTATTGCCCAAGTTTTTATTCTTTGGAGTTCATATTATTTACTGCAACTTTTTTTTAATGTGTGAATATATTTGCATTGCTTTAGTGATATGTATTGATTATCAATTTAAATAAACAGATACAAATATGTTTATCATACCACTACAGACATTTTTACAGAGAAGGATGCCTTCATAAATTGGTCATTGAACTACAAGAAATGCGTAGCTCTGCTTGGCTCAATATGTCAGTTAGATTTTGTGGTGAGTTAAGATGAGCAGTGCAGAATTAAGTTGATTTTAGAATGCCCCAGGTCTGATTATGGCTGACAGGCTGTTGAAGAATAATTATTTTATAAAAGTTGGAAGTTTTATAAAAACAAGATAGGAACAATACTCAACTATATTAATGCAAATACAGATTTTTCTTTCCGATTTCTTCATCCATTCAGTGGAGTGGACTCAACAGTGGAATCCTATTGTGGTTGGAGCACTCGCCTCGCAAGCGAGAGACTTGGGTTCAATTCCCAGCAGAGCAAGGTTAGGGATGTCAGTGTTGAGGAATGGGATATGTATATTTGGCATTCAGTGCCAGATGTCATTTACACCTTTATTGAATGGCTAGCTCTGTGGTAACATATTCTAACCCTGTTGCATCAATACGAGTTTGTAACACCAATCATCTTTAATGCACTCTCTAAGTGATGCTGCCAGTTTGTGCTGAATTGTCAGCATATTTTGTGTTCTGGTCTTGTATCTAGTAGGAGCCTTTCAGATGGCTGAAACTCCTATTTTTGCAGATGCAGAAAGTAAATGTTCTCAGTTTCGGTGGCATTCAAACACAATTTCTAAAGTGGTGAAGAGACTAAGCTAATTCACTGCTTCATTCAATTCCTGGTGATCAACTGTTTCATCAACTAAAATATAAAGTATAGAGAACACTTGATTGAACAGTTTTTGTAACTGAAATTGTTGAATGCAGCTATGTAGAATGTGGTGTTTTTATAGATAAAATTATCTATGGTGTCTCAGTCCATTTTGGATTACAGTATTCAGTGCATGAAATTATTGATATACAATAGTTTGTAGACAATTGCCTATATTTCATTTTGATATTAAAATAAATCCATTTTAATAGAAAAAAAATGGTTGCTGTTTCACAGATCATTAATGAAGTATTTTACTATTGCAGGGGCCTGGCAGCGGGAGAAGATAATGGACAGCGGGGATATATGCTGACATTTGTGATTGCTTACATTCGGGTACGGAGCTCCTAGATGGTCTAATCTTTCCCTGGATTTCATTTTAAGCTTGTCCAGTTTTGCAATGGAATTCTTAAAAACTGCAGAACCATTAATAATGAGTATTGTTGTTGCTCTCTCAATGTCTCCCTGCTGCACCATGAAAGAGATTTGGAGTTCAGGGAATTGTTGAAAGGGTTATTGAACTGATATCCCGCCTCTGCTGTGCCCTATTGCTCTGATGCGTTGACAGTGCTCTGCCTTTGTTATGTAATAGCATAGTTGCCTGCAGTAAATTAGTAAAATTAAACTGTATGTTTTCATCTGTGGTATAATATTCCATAATTAGTATTCCAAGAAACATTTTCGCTTTTTTAATGATGTAAAGTGTTATTTTTAATGTCCTCCCAACATGAAAGGTGCTATATAAATGCAATTTATTGTTTTTAATATTGTACTTTAGGACTTGGGCATGGATTATTACATCATAGGAGAATCATTTGAGACCTCTGTTCCTTGGGACCGGTAAATAACTAGTTATTCTTACCTTTGTTTGTTCTTTTGGTGGCATTTAAATCATTAATTTCATTAATGTGCATTATAATTGTTCACAAAGTATTGCCCTTTTCCCTTTAATATATAGAGTAAGGATCTGTCTTAATTAGAAACGCTAATAGACATTTTTTGACTGGAGGTATTGTAAATGGCCACTGGATAAGTAGTTTCCTTCCTTTCCTTATGGCTTGAGCCACCAGGTTAAGGAAGGGCACTCTCCACTCCAGCAGATATTCAAGGTTCAATTCAAATAAGAGAATTTTTTTAAATAAAAGGTAACAGATAACAAATTCAATTGGTCATTGGGCAAAGGCTTTAGCTTTCGCTTGAATAGTAATACGTGCAGCAGCTTAAGTAAGCACGATTGGCTTTGTTGTCAGATGTTACTAAGAAACATGGGGTATACAGACAGCTATTTTGTATATATAGACTTTCTGTGTGTAGGGATATCTAGGTCAATTCTAACGATGTTTCTCTAGCGACACAAAGCTATCATTTTTGTGTTTTAGATGGCTGCAGATTAATACATTTGTTTTTCTTTTGGGGTAATTTGTTTGCATTATGCTTCTATGCAATGAAGAGATTCTTGCATACTGCCATGTTAACATCAGATAGTAACATTACGGAAAGTAAAAATGTTCATGGTACATAAATATTATTGTGCAGCTTTGTTCAGCTTTACTGACCTGTTTAAAAATTCTTAATGATAAAGCAGCAATAGCTAATTGATACGGTTTAAAATAGTTACACCTTTGAATGGAAAAAATGTCTGGGATATTTCCTGGTTGAGACCTATCAGTAGTACTAACATTTTAATCCAAATGTGTTCTTTTTAGGGTGCTTGATCTCTGCAGGAATGTGAAGGAGAAACTAGTAAGAGAGTGTAAAGAAAGAGGTGTCCAGTTTCCTCCCCTTGCTACATGCCGGTAAGTTTTTATCTGACCTATAAGATGCATCATAAAGTCAAGATCAGAATGTCACAGGAAGCATTAGAGAGAGGTTAGATAAAAGGTAGGGTAGTTAAAAGTGGATGCATTGCTGCAAGCAGCTACTAAAGCTGGGATCATAACATTTAAAACAAGAGTTTGAAACATTTGAAGAGGAACAATCTGAATGGGAAAGGAGCAGGGGTATGGATTACTTGATAATGATAGTGGAGTAGCAAGAGCTGGCATCAATGCAGCCGCATTGGGCCAAATTGCCACTTCCTGTGCTGTGATACCTACATTTCTATGTAATTTACCATCTTTGGAATATCCAAGCATACCATTCAGCGAATTCATCTGTCTTGTATTTATCCTCTGAAATGTACAATTGGTAATCCTAACCTGGGAATAACTAGCTAGGTAGACTTTGTTTCGACTGAAATTTACTGAAAGAAAGCAACTTTATGACCCAGAAATTGGCCATATTGTGCATTTCAGGTTGGTCACTTTTGCTGCCAATACCACATCCTATACAGTCCAAGTGGCACAGAGTGCAGGAAGCGACTTTAGTGCCAAACTTATGAACTGGGTTATTCTTTAGTTCTGCCATTTTTAGGATGGGAGTAGCATTCTAAATGAACCAGAACTATAACAAAGAATGTTATAACGTGGCTGGCACTGCAGTAACAACCCAGTCTCTTTGCTCATATTGGGAGTTTCCAGTAGCAATTCATTTCTTGGGCAAAACCTGAAACTAGAAATGTGGGAAGTGCTATTTGAGGTTGTGGGAAAAAAACCTGTCATTAAGGTGAAAAGAAATTCTTATTGGGCGTTGCTTATAACATCCTTCCATCACATTTTCTGTATTTGAAAGGCTGCTTCTATTCTCCCTTTTTGATTTTTCCCTGTAAGAAATTTCAGATGATACACTTTTAAATGTAGAGAAAGAATCACATCAAATAAAAGTAAGGTAATGGTGAGACTGTCGGGAGCATAATTCTTTTTACCATCTTTCTCTTCCAGAGTTACACAAACCTACGATGCTGGAGCATGTGTGTATTTCTACTTCGCTTTTAATTACAGAGGTTTAAGTGACCCAATTCATGTATATGATCAAATTGAGGTAATTCTGTTGAAGTGCTTTTTTCTTGTTGTCGTATTTGTTCTTAACACAATAATAAATAACCTCTTTCTTTAGATATTATGGATTGTAAATTTAAGATGTTAACTCGTAAACTGAGAAAAGCAATGAAGTGATCTGTTTTGATTCGTCTATTTCCATATACATTACAATGAAGATTTTAAAAAATTGTCAAGAAGGTTCAAATGCTCATTGGTAAAGAATGCATTTTACATTATAAATGGCTATAACTGATGGTAAACCATTCAGAAAGGATTGCACAAAGATCTGTTTTTCAGAATCAAAACTGGCTTGTGTTTTCTGTGTTGATTTTCATCTGTTGATTATCATTAATTTGTTTGAATCACTGTTCAATCAGGCTGCAGCCAGAGAAGAGATACTTGAGAATGGAGGAAGCCTTTCCCATCACCATGGAGGTGAGCACCATTTTCTTTCTTCTCACTAATGTTCCAAGATCACAAGAAGTCTTTCAGTACCTTGTTCAAATGGCCTGTCAAATTTGAGATAGGATGAGTGTCCAGAGGACTCTGCCAGTCAAGCCAGACCCTGTCCTTACCACATATTGATACCTACTAATTTCTTTCTTTTCGACCATGCCTTTGATCCCCCTCTCCTTGCTCGGCCCCAGGATCTGTTTCTGTGAAGCGCTCTGAGATGCCGTCCGGCGTGGAGGGTGCTATATAAATCCAAATCCAAGTTGTTGTTGTTGTACTAATTCATCATGATCTGCTGAATTGTATTGAGCAGCAGGAACCCTGACATATCATCATTCTCTCCACCAGCTCATGTGAACCTTGTTGTACCGCCTAATTACCAGTGACTGAATCTGGATCTTTTGAGATCTGCATAGCTCTGTATTCCAACATTACCCGCCGATGAACATGCACAACTTTTTATGTTGAACATTTATGAGAACTACTTGTTTTTTACTAAGCTGGATGGATGGGAAGTACAGTAATATTTCAATGTTTTCATGTCATAAAAGCTTACCATTTAGAAATGACTTTGAATTGGGTTGTAACTAGGTAGGTTTAGTCGGGTATTGATTCTCTTTACAGCAGCTATATTTTGATTGGAATTCTTTAGCCAACTAGCATTTCTGGTGTTCTTTTGTATCTTGACCAATTTAGCAATATCACCTATATTTATGATTTATCAATAATTTTTCTCATTCAAAATCCCAAGTTACTTTGTTTTTGAACATTGCACGTTTCTGGTTACTGATATTGGCTGTTTTCTTACAGCCTGTCAACATGATTGTTCCCAGTGGAATTGTTTCAATCGACGCTTTGAGTAAATAAATACAGCAGAAGCAACATATTGGTCTGATAGGCTTAGAAAAGTGCATGGATGAATAATACTTGGAAGTCTTACTGAACTAGAAAACATTAAACTTTATACAATTAGAGCAGGATTGGGAGCAAAGCAGTTAAATGAATGGCTGCCTTGATTTGTTATGAAAGGATCAACAGAAGAAATGACCACACAATCTGTTTTCATCCATAACCTTAATTATGTTTAGACATGATGATTACAGATAGTTAGACCTGTAGTTGAAGTAAAAGCTTTCATGTAAATCTTGGCAATCTGCAAAAACAGTTAAATGTATTCAAATTTAAATAGAAACTGATGTAACAATGTAACCCAATTTGAAATCAACGTGACTAAATATATTGATGAATTGCTAGTGTTAAATGATCAAATTTTATTAATTTAACTAATCTATATCAATTCTATCTTTGAATTTGCGCTGTTGGAATCCATTGATGAATGCAATGATATGGAATTCTGTTTTAAACTAAATTGTATGCTTTAAGTCACATTCTCAACTGACTTGCATTTCAGCAAAAGCATTTGACTTGCATTTAATAGCCAATTTGCCAGTAAGTACACTCATTTTTTCTTTTTGTGTGAAGATTTTCATTGAAATTGACTAGATTGATTACCACAGCTAAATCATACATGTAAACCAGTTTTTAAAAAAATGATTTAAATGTTCGATCTTTTTATTGTACATTGCTTGTACGTTACAACAAATACATTTTCCTGGTTGTAAATTCTACATGCCAGTGGCTTGCTCCACACATCCTGCTGTGAACTATCCTTCTTTGCATTACATAGGCAAGCAAGCATTACATAGGCAGGCAAGCAGCCCGGATTTTTCACTTTCCTTCATTGGGTGTTGTAAGAAATAGCAATTATGGGGATGATATTATTATTATTATATGGGTTATGAGGATAGGTTTGAAAAATTGGGGCTGTTTTCACTGAAATAGTGAAGGTAAAGGAAAGCAAAAAACCTTGCATTTTTGTAACCAACTGTCATGCCAAAGTCTTAAGAATGATTCACAGATAAATATTCTGCCAAGTGTAATGATTGTTTTGATAGGAAACCATTTGTGTTGGAGAGGTCCCCTAAACAGCCAGAAGGAGGCTTGTCGACCAGAAGGTCAGGAGAAGTTCCCATCTCTTTTCAAGTAGCGTAATGGGACCTGTATCCAATTAAATCGGGAGACAGGCTTTGGCTTGATGACTCCTTCAAAAGGTGGCGCCTTCAACAATGAGTACTGCCCCAGTACTGTGCTGGAGTGTGTTGAACACACAACCTTCTGAACCAAGGACAAGCCAAGCCATAAAAGAGTGACAGTTTCTTCAAAAAAAATAAATGTTGTACATCATATTGTTTCAATCACAGCTAGATTAAACGCTCTCAGACACTATCCTGTGTGGAGGGCACTATATAAGTGCAAGTTGTTGTTGTAGTAGATTAAATCCACTGCAAGCATGATATTAAAATGACTGGAATATGGGAGTTCAGTATGAGATCAGGAGTCTTGTAGCTCAGTGGTCAAGAGTCCTGTCGCTCAGTGGTTAGAGCACTCGCCTCACAAGTGAGAGACCTGGGTTCGATTCCTGGCAGAGCAAAACCTCGGGCAAGTTTCCTTACTTCACCACCCCTGATAATAATCCCTCAAGAAAAAAACAATCATAATTTGGTCACTCAATCCACGACTGTTTGTGGGACCTGCTGTGCACAATTGGCTGCTGCATTTCGCCCACAAATATCAGTCAATTCACTTGACAGTATATTCTGTGAAACGCTTTGAGACGTCTTGAAGATGTGAAAAGCGCTATATTAAATGCAAGCATTATTATTATAAGTCAACAGATAATTACCCTAGAATTGTATGCGAGACCAAGTAACAGGGGGAAAAAAAGTATTCAGTACTCTGCTGAATGTTATTGTTATCCACTTTATTTACTGACCTTGAGGCTTGCTTTGGTATTCTCTGTTGAGCATTTAACTGTCATTTATTTTAGAAAAAAATGATAGTTTCCCTTGCGCTGGCTGTAATTGTGATTAATAATGGCTCTATTTGCTATCTAGAAAGAGGAAGGTTAGTTTGTCTGCTTATAGTTACAAATTGATAGATGGACCTCTTTTTACTGGTGTTTTGAGCATCAAAACATGCCGTCTAAAACAAGCCTGTAGAAAGTACAAGGTTCATTCCACTACCACAGTCATTGTATAGTTTTAGTTGAGAACAACTACTGGGTATTTCCCACGTTAGTACTAAATATAGCTTGGAATGATTTCTAGAAACGTTTTTCTGTTAAGTTTGGGCATGTTGGTGTATTCATAATTGATACAGAATTAAAGGAGAAATGCTTTGTGCATCAAAATTTGATTTGATTATAATCTGGAAAAAGTAGCTATAATTTTCAAGTTCAAAACCGACCTGGGGAATGGTGGTAACTGTTTTTCTCTGATGTAATTCTTGCTACAAATTTGGATAGAGAATGAAAATCCTAATCGTCTCCTTCTTCTGGAAAGTTTCTGAAAACGTACAGTTTTCTTGTCACCATTACTGGTGTGTTGAAATGTCAAAGAGCCATTACTTTTGTATACCACCAATAGAATGAGTTATGATGCTTCTCATATGTTGAAGGACCATGAAGTAGTAGATTAGTTTGGAAAGCCTTGGTATTGGTGCTGCTAATCATTGTGTGCTGTTAAATTGTGTTCATTTTGCACTTGTAAAATAAAATGTTTATGGAAAAACTCAGCAATCAAGGCAATGGATTTTTAAAAAAACACTTAATTCAAATTCAGTTGTAAAAAATTGAGGAAACTATTATTGTGGATATTTTTTAATTGGGAATTTGGTCACGTTTAGTTATTTTGGGAGATTTACACTTTCAAATGCAAAATTCCTTTTATGTTTGTGATTCAGGGAAGTGCTTTTATTTAAAAGTTTTGTTTAACCAACGTTAGTTGCATTCTTTATATTCAGTTCATTCCCATAACTGAATATATTAGAAATGTTAGTTTGCATTTTAATCATTTCCCTTTCAACCACCTTTCAGGTTGTTATTTTTTTCCTGTTTTCAATGAAATTGGATGTGACTTTCAGTCCATCAAAGGTGAAACATTAAAGAAAATTTAAGCAAGATTGCAAAGATGTTAGCCACGTGACCCATTTCTTTCAGCTCACTAGTCAAATGAATATTGGATTTACTATGATAAAAATATAAACTGAGGAAATATGACAAGATGGATGGGTCAATTAGCACTCTGACAAAGCTAATGATCCACTCCAAGTACCTTCTGTTTTCAGAGCTATGTGAGCAGCTTCAGCTTGTGTGCAGAGATGTTTATTTCTTGGCTACTCAAACGTCAGTGCAATTCCATATGGAGTTAAATACACTGGAGACGGGTAGTCAGACATGCAAGTTAGCAGTTTGTACACCCTACACTAGTGATAATATGCTCCAACTAGACAGCCACTGTTCACAGCCTTTTCTGGACAATTACCTCCAACCAACATACTTATCGCTATGTACGCGCCCGTGACGAGAGCAAAATGATCATCGTTCATTACCCTGACCTGTCGAGCTCCTCCAAGAATAGGTTTGTGCAGTGAATAGAGTAATTTTGAAGGTGTCTTGTAAAGCAAACCCTCTATGAGGTGTAGCTATCTGGATAAAAATACAGAAGATTTTACTGAATAAAGTATCTACAATTCAGAAATTACCTTCCACCTACCTTGGTGTCTACGGAGCAGACATAACTGTGCAAAATATCACATTGAATTTTTTGGAGGGGGGTTAAGAGCATTCAAGTAAGTTGACTAGATTTGTTTAATAAGTGTATGTGCTGGTTTACGATAGAGATATGAGCATAAATAATTGACCCTTTTTATAATGTTAAAATTACCTCAGGCAGAGATCTAACGCTGGTGATCAAAGAGTACAGCTCCCAGAAATATCAGCACTGTTGTAAGCAGTCGATTAAGATGCTGGTTTGATTCAGGTCCATAAGTTTTTTTTTATTAAAACCTTCTCGTATGTCAGTTTTCTACATGCAAATTCTCCTGTTTGCACAGAACCTATGCAGCTCTCCTGTGGGGAGCGCTGAGCTTAATGAGCTTGAGAATCTGGCGAGCTCAATAAATCATCAACACGAAACATTTCTCTTCTTCTGAATCAAAACATTTATCACGCAGTATTTATTTGCCACTTTCAAAAGATTGATTTGCTCTCAATGTACCAGTGTGTGCTCATGCATTCTGTGTCCCTTTTTTGTTTCTAGTCGGTAAGTTACGGAAGCGCTGGTTGAGGGAGAGCATCTCTGACGTCGGGGTGGGGATGCTGAAATCTGTCAAGGATTTTGTGGACCCCGACAACATCTTTGGAAACAGAAACCTTCTGTAAAGCAAACGAACTCGTCCACAAGCCGAAGCTTGGAATTTTGGAAGGTCAGCAAATCAGGCCATCTTAAAAGAAGAAAAATATCTACGGACTATCAAAAGAAGTAACACCTTACATTTTGTACACAAAAACACTCCGGTAGAATTTATTGACTAATATTGATTTCTTTATGGGATACAGAAGACATTTTTGTGGAAAAAATGTAACACTGTTACTGTCCTGTTCCATTAAAGCTTGGGAATGTTAACAACAGTTTTGTGTTCGGCAGCAAGCGGAACATGAAGTTGGTAATAGAAAAACAAACTGATGCTTGGGGATTACTCATATTTATCTCGTAGTTGTTAAAAACCTGGGTGATTGTAATTTCTGCATATTTGAGTCCTTCAAAAATCTTTACTGAAATGATTACATAGCCATACCTGCTTGTTACTGGTAACTTTTTTGCATGTTGTTTTCCTTCTATAAGCAACTGTTACTAAATGTTAAAATATCATCCTTTGTAAAATGTTCTGTTAATTCAGTGTTTTTATTTCTGTATTCCCCCTAAATGGGGGGAAAAAACACATCATTGTACAGAAAACATACTATATCGCACCTCTTTTGTGAATTATGGATTTCTGATTATTGTTACGAAGCACCAGCTATTCCAGGAAGTGAAAAAAATTGCTAAAATGCCCTGGGAAGTAAAGAAAAGCGCTACTATTTACAGATTAGAGATACAGTACATGGAGAATGTTACCTGCATCATCCATATTAAAGTATTTTTTTGGATCCTTTAAATATTACAATATTTGGGTTGTCTTTTTTCCCCTTTAGTTTGCTTGTGCTCACATTCAAGGTGTAAAATATTAAATCTTGTGATTTTTGTATAGCGGTCTGAAATCACTTCATTCACAAGACAAGTATAACTTGCATGAAATGAAATCCTAGAAATGAATCTTACTATCTAATTGATTGATTTTCTGTTATTGTGTTGGGTATAACTGCTCATTTTATTATGGAAAGGATTAATGTTCGACGAATTAAATTTACATGTGGAAACATTTGAGGGTCATTGGCATGCAGTGTTTATAGAAATAATTTGAGGCTGCTCTTGAGGTTCTTCCAAAAGCTGTGTCCATCTGCAATAAACAATATATTACTGATGACTTGAATTTCTGGCATTATCACAGATGTGAAAGTATTGCCATAACTCAGGCAGTTGTAATTATGGTAACGGTAGGCTATTGTAATTGGGTATTTGGGTATTTCTGTTTTCAGTTGTGTTTCAGATTTCTTCCTCTGGGAAAGAAACCTTGATTTACTAATTATGTCATGTTTCTTCATCCATGATCATGAATTGTCATTTTATATCTCAAACGTCACTAGATTTAAACTTTGAGTTAAAACACAGCAATGCATATATCAGTCAGGCATTTGGTAGAAGTAATCCCAGCTCTAAAATCAATATTGTTGAAGCCAGTTTCTATGCTGGTTGTTGTTCATGCTCTAATTGCTGAGTTCATTTAGAAAATGATGTGCAAGGAACTATTGTCGTTCATTTTACACTCTCTGCACTGCTAGAGTTCGGCAAGTTTCTCTCAAGAAGAGAGAGATTCTACTCGCAATATGTGATTCCCAGTAAAGCAGGAGGGTATCATTCCATCTTGCAGGTCAGATAACTGCACAAATTCCTCAAAAAGCAAAAGTTCAAGATGCTGACTTTTGGCTCTTCCAATGTGTGAATGGGTAAGTGGGTGGGTGTATGAGCGTGTGGGTGAAAATCAGCCTGGGTTCCAATGCCGAAAACTTCGCTGAACACTGCTGATGAGGACAGGATTGAATTTTAATGATGATCTTTACTGTCAAATTTCACGGCAACACTATCTGGGTTTAAACATGAAGGATGGTTATGTACAGAGTGCACCTGTGGAGTTATACCAAAGGAAAAGAGACATCGTTCAGGAGATGTAACAAAGGGGAGAAAATGAGGGGAGGGGAAGGGACTTGGATTTCTCCAAATTTTTATTCTGCTAAAAATATTTGTGTGAAATCCAGGCTGAAAATAAAGTTGCCAAAATACATTTGTACAGCATGTGTTTTCTCATCTGATTGCAGTGAGTGGTGTTGTGCTGATTTTCCACACTGATATTTCTTGATTGCTGAAGATATCACCTAACATCTACTAATTACTGGTTACCTTGAAGCATGCAGGGAATGAATTGCCTGTTTGCATTCTTAGTTGAGCAGAGGTTACGTAGAATGGGACAACACAGAAATGGGCCGTTCAGCCCAACATACTGGTGCTTATTCTCCATGTAACAGGTGTTTAGGACTAATTTCAGGTATGACAACATTGATCTTCTAGCCACTGGTGAGAGAATTGTGTTTTGGATCAAGCAGAGTTGGGCCTATGGGCTCATGCATGGATTTTTGTATTGAATTTAGGCCCATAACATAATAAATAGTATGCAAAACAATTTACACAGTGCCATTCATGTGGGGGAGGGGAGCAACAATGCTGCAAAACTCAATGCATTGAGGTACCTTATTGACTTATTATTCCCGTTTTATCTGTAATAGCAGACTTTCCTCTTCAACCGTGCCTTCAGTCACCCTCCTACCCCCTCCTGATCCCAAACACCAGCTCGGTTGCAGATCCCTGACTGTCCAGTGCCTTGGGATGTCCTCCTGACTGCAAGGCACTTTACAAATGTAATTTGTTGTTGTAAGTAGATTTAAATGTGTACTCAAGTGAAGGCAGCCTGAGGGATGTAGCTTCCTCTGAAATTAAGTACAGATTTGTGAGTTTTGAGGAGATTAGTTTGTCCAGTGGTCTCACCTGCTCTGGCTGCCCATTAGCTCCAGATCAAACCAGGCTAATAATTGTAAAGAAGATGGGTTTCACTGATTTAATCCCAACCTTGAAAGAGTGCTTCCATGCTGCAGTCCCCAACCAGCTATCCTGTGAACCCGGAGTCTGGTAAATTAAATCTGAATTATTGGCCTATTATTGATTTTGCTAACAGATGAATGAGTTGTAACTATACTATCCACCCAACTGGGATAACTTTCAACCAAGATACAGTAACTTGTGTTCTTAGGAAATTGTCCCACGGCAGTGTTATTATAGCAAAGCCTCTGACTGTCTCAAATTCATCCTGTTTAAAAACTCAGACAATTTCCTAACTTGCTCCAAGATCTATTTAATGAGGTAAGCAATTACATACCAACTTTGTTTTAAGCTGTTGTAAAGCTGCTTAGGAAGGATCAAGTCAATGCATTTTGAGTACAGGGGTGTAATTTTTGTGTGTAATCTGAATGTTTAGTAAATATGTAAAATATTTTGGGCTGTTTCGCTAGAATGATGTTATGTTTGCCTCCATGTGATTTCTACATGCTGATTCTATGAGATTCTCTATAGATAAATGTGTATATATTCCTTCTCTTACTTGCTTGGCATCTGAACCATCCCTGTGAAGCACTTTGATGCAAGGTGTGTGTATGTATTTAAATCTTCCTGATTTAGGATTGTCAATGTTAAGGAGACTTGTGTGGAGCATAAACACCGCATGGACTAGTTGGATCAAATGGCTTGTTTTTGTGCTGTACATTCTATGTAGAAAAAGATTGAAGCCATCTGAATCTAGACACTACCAGTGTTGAACCCTTTTAAAGAATAGAATTGTTTAAACAAGGTACCAGACTGATATTGCAAGATGTGCTGTTCTACCTACAAGTAAAAAAAAAAATTCAAATTGTAAACTAATCTGTTGGAATATTTCTCTATACCTGCCCTCAGACCAAGCTGAACTTGGGAAGAGCTTTCCACCCACCCGAACACCCATTAAGAATCCACAGGCAAGGCTATCTTTCACACAGCAAGTCCGTACTACACACGAACGCCCTTGCTGAGAATTCTTTCACAAATTAGTTAACTACTTCAGGGATACAGCGTTAGGAAACTCATCCAAACAATGTTTTCCTTAACTCAAAAGACAATTGTACTGAAAAAAGGTGCTTTATACACAGTAATTTCAACCATAAAACAAACTGCAGGTTGGTGATATTTATATCAGACAATTATGTTTGCAAGTGCAATTCTGATTCAGGGAATCTTAGCAATGCTCATGAAAGGAAAAGTAATAATAATACTTGCAATTGATGAGGCGCCTTATCGCGTCTTCGAGACGTGTCAAAGCGCTTCACAGCATATACTGTAAAATGAATTGATTATATTTTGTGTACCATTGTTTTCTACTAAAAGTAACTCTGAAGTAGTATGAAAGCTATTGATGTGTTGCAGCTCCCAGGGAGAGCCGGAGGCATTTGATTGCTGCTTACATAAAAGCAAACCTACTGCATGGCGCTCAATAATCCTATGATGCTGTGCGTCATATACAAGTGACCAAAAAGTCATGATACTTTTACAGTGTCTCATAAGTCTAACTTAAATTGGGCCATTATAAATTATTGTTTCCATTCTACCCCTTTGGTTGTGGGTGAGAGGAGATAGGAATAAAGAACTTGTCTCTGGGCCTTTCTGTTGAATGCGTCTTCATATTTCATAAAGATACTCTGAATAGACAATTTGTTGGATGTAGTTGCCTGTATTATCGGAAACTTTGAATCAATCATTTAAACTTCTCTGGAGGCTTGTGCACCTTGTGTGTTTAACACTAATCTATAAATAACTTGATTTGTAGAATATCGGCATTTGCTGTGTATATTTAAAAAAAAACTTCCATGCTGGTGACGTGAATGACAAATTGATGACATATAAATAGATTAAATTTGATCATTCATCATTGCTGTTTGTGGAACATTATTGGTGCAGACTGGGCATGCTGTTTACATACATAATGACCACTGCACTCATTGTATTTAATGCTTTCAAACATTGATGTGATAAAGCATTATACCAAACCAAATGTTCATTGCCAAGTATTTATTCACAATCTGGGTTTGGAGAGTTGGCAGAGACTCAGTCTGGTTTGTCACTTGTTCAAATATCAAATAAAAATCCAGCAGCTGCTCCCAATGTGCACATCTTCAGATGTTTCTAAACAGAGGAAATAGATGTGCGGTAAAAGTGTACCCAAAGGATTAGCTATAATGAAATGCATACACCCAGCTACCCAGCTGCTATCCTCTGGAACTGCAATATTAGCCACATTTTAGCCTTATTGAATTAGAGTACCAATTACCGCAAACTATTTGGGAAACAGCTTTTGAGATCTTAACTGAAATTTACACCTTCCCAAAACTCTTCACAAAGTTAAACCTTGCTCATGCTTGAAATGGACTGAAGATAATTGTCTGGAAGCTGTATGAAATAGTATTTGAGATTAACCTTTAATTAATCTGCCAAGAATCCTGTAGAAGAATCTTGTAAGAGATGGTAGAGGGATTTAAGCACAAGTTGTCTTGTGTGCAAGTAGTATTGAATTAGATCATGTTAGTACTGGAGAACAGGAAGATGCAGAAGAACATAAAGAGAGAAGAGCAGAAGTGGCTAGAAATAGAGAGTTCAGAGGTATGTGAGACATTGCCACAGATGGGGCATTGGGACATTTCCCCCCGAGTGTTTTGGTGAGGAATAAGCCACAGGAATGATGCATTCACGGTAATTAAACGGATAGAATAATAAATAATATAATGAGTAATGACTATTTATGGAGGACAAATGAAGCGACATAAGACATATTGTTAACAAACTTATACATGCTGTGGAATAATGTGACAACGGGATGAGAAGATGATCAGATTAGCTTCCTCATTAGCTGGTTGCTAATGAGGAATTTAAAGAGATGGCTTCAAAGAGAAACCGTAAAAACTAGTAGTCTTTGTGATAAGCAATGAAAGCTCACTCCATTCACAGATGGTCGTTGAGACTAGAGGTTGAAATTATCAGCATCAAAGAATATTTTGCTTCAATAATAAACTGCTTTTTACAGAATGTGCTCCCTCTGCCACCCCTTCAGACCCTTTCCTGTACTTTGAGAAATTCACATATTTACAATAAAATAATCATAATCCTTGCATTTGATATAACTCCTTATTATGTCGTTGAGATGTGATAATGCGCTTCGCAGAATATATTGTAAAGTGAGTTGACTGTGGCCAAAATGCGGCAGCCAATTCCACACAGCAGTGTCCCACAAACTGT